ACAAATTCCCAAGATCAGGGACCCGTCCGACCCGTCTATCTACAATCTGTATGCAGCGTCTCCTCAAGTACTTCGGACACGTGGCCCGACAAAATCCTGAGAACTTGGAAAAATTAATAGTTGTGGGTCACGTGGAAGGAAAGAGAAGTCGAGGAAGATTGCCAATCAGGCGGACGGTCATTGTCAAGGAGGCCACAAACACCAGCGTCCCGGGCGCTATTAAGCAGGCCGAATGCAGGCAACATTGGAGGAAGCTGGTGCAAAAACTGGACCAAGGTGGTCACGACCCTCAGTAATGAGGAAACGACAAAGAAGAAGAACAAAATTAATTGAAGCTAAATAATAAGAAAGGTAGTAAAGTAGTCTGTGCTAGCTGGCCATCTGGACATCAAAGGGCTAAAGTTGCTGCTTCTCACTCCCAACGCCATTATTAGAAGAGGATGAAAGGTCCCATTTTGCGGGTCGCGCTACGTAAGACAGTGCCTATTTTCTTCCTACCTAAGCTGGTAGCCTTAGAGGCTTATTCCAGCGTAACCGAGCCAGTAGGTCAGCTCAGGGCTCTAACCTGAGGACGTTGCTAATACTAGCCCTAGCAAGAGCAGTGCTACCCAGAATCTACCACTAGATCGGAAACGCGACCCACTGAGAAGATCCGGCGAGGAAATCAGTGGGCTACATTCCCGATTCTACGGATAGAATGGAAAGCAGTCGACGTCGCCCAAAACACGTAATTTCGGATCCTCCCGATCCACTAACGGTGCTTTTAGGTACCTCAAACCGTCGAACCTGTCGCTTGCGACGAAGGGCTCAACGAGTAAATTAACCCACAGATACTGCCCATTGAGTTCCTCGCCGGATCTTCTCAGTTGGTCGCGATTTCGATCCGATGGTAGATTCTGTAAAGCACGGCTCTTGCTAGGGTTCGTGTTAGCAACGTCGTCAGGCTTGAGCCTCATGAGCTCACCTACTAGTTAAGGTTATGCTGAAACAGCCTCTCAAAGCAAAGGTAAAAAAAAATATTGGGCCTAAAATTGCCTAAACAAAATAATAATCTAGTCGTGAACTTGTGATTCGTCTTTACTCGGAACACGGTACGTACAGAGAATCCCTTGGCCTAAAACTTGCATAATAACATAGAGTAGTTTGTATGTCCCTTGAGATATACAGGTATGGAGATGATAACCTTCGCCTTGAATACAGAGGTCAACAAACGCGCTCGATTATAACTCTTATTGCCTACCGATAAGGAACGTTATTGGTTTAAATGTTTATTTGGTGTGTTTACATGGATTTAGGCCGCGTTCCATTATTGAATCGCGATGAAGAAAAAAAAAATTGTAGTGCACGAATGATTGCATAACATTCAAACTCGGAAAACACTTTCTAGTCGCTCCTTGAACTTGTGAACACAGTTGCGATTTAAACAGTAGCTTTGTTACGATTTTTGAAGTGAAAACTTCTTTAGAATCGTTGTGATTTCAAACCGGATGCAACGGAAAAAACGACAGGTAAGAGACACAAATACAAAAATGTGTAGGATGAAGCCAGCAAAGAATGAGACAGAAATATACATACTATTTAATACAGCGCCATCTGTGAGATTTTTTAATACTAACGTGTGTATGAAAGCTCTTGTAGTGAATTTTAATTTAGGATTATACGTGAAATTAAAATATCAATTCACAGAGGGTGCCTTACAATTATTTACTAATGACAAAATTTTACATATACTTAAGACGTTTAGGATAATTGTATTTCAATTTTGGAAGGTTTCACTTCTACCACGTGTGAATTGCACACATTTTGTTTTTTTTTTATGAATTCACGACTATTGTACGTTTACATTGTGGACGTTATTAAACGTGGTCTAATGATGTATCCGTGATCAAAGCGCTTGCAACACGCTGAAGTTTTAACACGTTTTAAGTCGTCGTAGCCTAAAGGATAAGACGTCCGGTGCATTCGTATATAGCGATGCACCGGTGTTCGAATCCCGCTGGCAAGTACCAATTTTGCTAATGAAATACGTACTTAACAAATGTACACGATTGACTTCCACGGTGAAAGATAACATCGTGTAGTAGCAAAATTATAATTTGCGTAATTACTGGTGGTAGGACGTCTTGGGAGTCCGCACGGGTAAGTACCATCAGTCTGCCTATTTCTGCCGTGAAGCAATATGGCTTTTCGATTTGAAGGGCGGGGCAGCCGTTGTAATTATACTAAGACCTTACAACTTTACTCATGTCGCGAGGTGGGTGGCGGCATTTACGTTGTAGATGTCTATGGGCTCCGGTGACCACTTAGCATCAGGTAGGTCGTGAGCTCGTCCACGCACCTAAGCAATCAAAAACAAAGCTTGTTAGCTCGTAAAAATCAAATACTTTAAAAACTGCATTACTATTTTTGAATGCGCTGTGCACCCACGGGCGGCGTATCTCTAAATAAAATGCAAGATGGCGTACGCGATGACGTCACGGGAGTTCTAGATCTGCTAATTTTTGTATCTCATCCTTGACTTTAGCGCGAATTTTAAATCTGGAACGTTTTATTTTTATTTGTTTTTAAAATTACAATTACGTAACGCGCCCGTGACTTCGGTCATTTCTCGTTACGTTGGCAATGCGTTTTTTCTTGTTCATTGTCATTGTAATGTTGGCTATTCACATATCACTACATAGTATAAAACAAAGTCGCTTTCTCTGTCCCTATATCCCTGTGTATGCTTAAATCTTTAAAACGCAACGGATTTTGATGCGGTTTTTTAATAGATAGAGTCATTGAAGAGGAAAGTTTATATGTATAATAACATCCCTAATAGTGGAGAAATCAATAATAAATTACAGTTTCCGAAGCGAAGCCGAATTCCGAAGAATCTGTTAGTTTTTCTGAAGTACAACTTTTTTTTTTCAATTGGCTGTTAATCGATGATCAAACTGACTGTCCACATGCTGTTAAGTGGTTAGTGGAACTAATAGACAATTAGAACGTGAACATCGCTACCCACCTACCTCGAACCCTGAATCGATTGCCGAAATGCAAGTCCGATCCCTCAAAACATAAGTCATGACAGCTCTGTGGCAGTAAAAGGCGGGATCGCGGTGACTACCTATAAATATAAAATAACATTTTGATTGGTGTTTCAATGCAATATGCATCGAATTTATTACTGGTGGTAGGACCTCTTGTGAGTCCGCACGGGTAGGTACCACCATCCTGCCTATTTCTGCCGTGAAGCAGTAATGCGTTTCGGTTTGAAGAGCGGAGCAGCCGTTGTAACTATAATGAGACCTTAGAACTGATATCTCAAGGTGGGTGGCGCATTTACGTTGTAGATGTCTATGGGCTCCAGTAACCACTTAACACCAGGTGGGCTGTGAGCTCGTCTATCTATCTAAGCAATAAAAATTACTTACGACTTAAAAAAAAAAAACAGGAAGTTCAACAATTTAATAGTTTTTTTTTTGTGTGTGTTCGCACGTGTGGTCCCATTTATATTATACGAATTTTGTTGAAGTCGGTTTTCTTGGGTTTCTTTTTTATGATTTTTTTTTGTATTAGATCATAATTATGCCTGTGATTAGGTAAATTAAGATTCGTAATTAAGTCAAAGGTCAAGGCCCGAAGTGATATCAAACATTATATATAAAATAACCTCAAATGAAAAAGATCGAGTTATTTAATCGGTGTCTCAAGCGGAAACGCGGCGATCAGTTGAGACGACTAATCATCGGTTACAAGGTCGACTGACGAGAAGCGTTCATGTGGAAAATTGAAAGAAAAAAAAGCATACAATTTTTTTTTTTTTTTTTCGTGTTTATGAGATCGAGTCCTTAGTGAAATAAAACCTTTTTTTTATTTAATCATTTTATTTTATAATTACAATTTAATGCATTCATTAATAAAGCCCGATACACACCTATCAAAGAGAGCACTGACCTGGAAAGTGTCTGGTAAAAGGAAGAGAGGCCGCCCCAGAACAACTTGGCGTCGCTCGGTGGAGCAGGAGCTAGGGGTCTTGGGCATGACGTGGGAGGAGATAGAACAGACTGCCCAAGACCGATACAAATGGAAAAATTTGATTCGAGCCCTACACCCCAGCAGAGGGTAATAGGAAAGCATGATGATGATGATGATTAATAAATGGAGTTGTACTTATTGGTGTTCAGTCTAGGTTTCAAGCAGTGAAAGGTTTCAAGCAGGGAAAGGTAATTTGGTTAAAGCGAAATTTTTGTAACTTTACATGAAAGCCAATTAAAGTTTAAAATTTTTGGAAAAAAATATCGTAACGACAAAAAATGTCTTCATCTATTTGAATGGGGGTGAACTTAATTGAAGTTCAATTAAAAACATCGAATTGTTTATGATACTCATACCAAATAAAACGGACCTTTAATTGCAAAGATAAATGGTGCGTGTTAAACCTTAAACCAAATTGCCTTCAGTTACTTTTGACAGTTGACGATTTTCTAAATTTTCAAAATTATACAAAAAAGTTCTTCCTGCTCGCAGTTAAACCCGAAATAGAGAAACGTAGCCGATATAGGTACCGTATGGGTACCTCAATCTCAGTAATGTCTCAATACCGCACTGGTGATTTGAAAATAATCATCAAATTCCACTAATAATACAAATACTCGAACAACCTGTGATCCGAGGTCACGATTTTTTTTTATTTTATTACTTACATGGATAGACGAGCTCACAGCCCACCTGACGATAAGTCGTTACTGGAGCCCATAGACATCTATAAAGTAAATGCCGCCACCCACCTTGAGATATGAGTTCTAAGGTTACAATGGGTGACCCACCCTTCAAACCGAATCGCGTTACTGCTTCACGGCAGAAATAGGCAGGGCGGTGGTACGTACCCGCGCGGACTCACAAGAGGTCCTACCACAAGGGCACTTTGCAAACTAGATGTTATTATTATCACTATCTTAAATCCCTTAGAAAGGTTTAAATTAAAATAAATTAATCTATTTATTATTTGTTCGCAGACCGTACGTCGGAAAGTATACGAAAAGAAAAGAAAAAACAAACACAAAATTGATGGACTTAAATCTATAAATTAAGCTCAAAAAAAAAAAAACACTTAATTATACGTCAAAATGTCACATCATTTGGTGACAGTTTGCATGTTTTGTCTACTGTGCGCCGCCCACACTTGCGGCTCCCACGTGGACATACAGACAGATGGAGTCTCGGCACACGAACCGAGGCTCGAGACCACAGACCACATGTCCCTCGAATTAGAAGAGAAAAGGAGGCTGGATTCGAGGAACCGCTACCATCAGAAGCTCCAGAAGATCAGACAGAAGGATCGCTTGAAGAGGGACGCGAAGAATGTCGACCCTGAGCTGTACGTAGCCCAGATATTCGGCATGTACGGGGACGCCGCTAGTATGACCATGAACCTGACCGGCTTCAACAAGATGCTTGAGGAACTAGACCTGCATAAGCTGATCGATGGTGGCCAAACGACCGACAGCACGGCCTACTTCCACGTTCAGACGACGAAGGATGAAGAAGTTGTCAGCGTGAGTTGTATTTTTGTAGTAGTAGTAGTACTATTTTTCCAGCTGGAAAGGCAAAGGTATCCCAAAACATACAGCCTAAACTTTTGTATAGTGTTCTTTTTTTATTTTATGAAAAGTGATTCATTTGAAACATTAATCAATTGGCATTTAATTAACAGGATGATATATAATCTAATTAAAATGGTGGTTATTTAGTGGACTTTTTGGAGCATCCCGAGAAACATTCAGTGGCTTTGTTTCATTTACCCACATTTGTGCACTTTTACAGATGATAAACAGTTAATAAACCACCGTTATTACACATTTAAACCTGAATAAAAACTAAATAGACAAAATAAAACAATTATCATTCAGGGTGCGAGTTTCGCCACCATCATCACTATAGATTATCAATCGAGGAAAAGTAACCAGCCAAGGTCCTTAAAACCAACAGCTAATACTGCAAAGCTAATTAAAGCTAGTGGTTCCGTATAGCTTTAACGTTATTCCAATGAATTTGAGCTCCAACCTTAGCTTTAGTTTTATCGAGTATTTAAAAATTTTGATTGCAGTGCGTTAACAGTTCAGAGCTGGTTACAACGGTGAACACGAGGTTAAAGCCCCACGACCATGGCCACGGTCACGAGGATCACACCCACAGCGACCACGACCACGAACTCCTAATATCCAAAGACACATTGAGGTCAGTCTGTCCAATATTGCTGTACCAGAAACTAGCAAACACGTCGATAGAACGTTCTGGATGCGTGAAAGAAACGAATCTACTGGTTCGCCACCATCGAGACTTGGAAGAGAAGGAGAACGCGTACACGAAAAACATGTTCGCGGTCTGGCTGTATTCATCCCTGAGCATAACCGCGATCAGCGCCTGTGGACTCCTAGGCGTGGCGGTCATCCCTGTCATGCACAAGACTTATTATAACCATCTGCTACAGTTTCTGGTGGCTCTGGCCGTAGGGACGCTGTGCGGGGACGCCTTGCTGCACCTGATGCCTCACGCGATGAGTCCCATGCACGACCACGAGGGCGGTGGACATGCGGTGGCGGAAATGTCGCACGACGACGGAATGTGGAAGGGATTCGCCGCCATGCTGGGCGTTGTGTTCTTTTACTTCACAGAGAAGGGATTAACGGTTGTCGTTGAGTGGAGGAAACGCAGGCAGAAGTTGGAGGAAGACAAACTTCCGACCAGAGTGCGCGTTCTTAAGGACGAAACGGTCGGGGGATGTTCGGGTGGTTCAAAAGCTCCCATAACGAACACAACTTCGAACAGTCTCATGAAGATCTTTAAGCGAGACGAAAAGGGAGATCCCACAACGAAAACTTGCAAGCACAAATACTCGGAATATCCTTATTGTTATGATGAAATCGATACGGATACTCACGACGAGCACCATCTGAGGGACGGTATACCGCCCAGCCCTAAAGCGAAGCACAACTCCGTGAGTGTGGTCTCATCCAACGCCCTCAATCCTGAGGGCAAAGAGGAACCCACAGCCAAGGACTGGCTGCTGAAAGCCGAGACCACTCCTGCTGTTGTCGAAATGAACAATATCAAACACAAAGAAGACGGGTCCAAGGATCTGAAGGATGGCGGCAGTTACACAGTTATATTGAGGTCAGTGTTTGTAGCTGTTTGTCAGTATCGGTACAAATGTAATGGTGGTAGGACGTCGTGTAAGTCCGCGTGGGTAGGTACCCTCCACCCTGTCTATTTCTGCCGTGAAGCAGTAATGCGTTTCGGTTTGAAGGTTTGGGCAGCCGTTGTACTACTATACTGAGACCTTAGAACTTATATCTCAAGGTGAGCGGCGGCATTTACGCTGTAGATGTCTATGGGCACCGGTAACCACTTAACAGGTGGGCTGTGAGCTCGTCCACCTATCTATGCAATAAAATAATAAAAATATTAAAAAAAAAGTTTCTGCATGATCGCGCTGTTTCAAGGGCACAGTTTGATACGCCATTAAACTTTTTTTAAAACCATTTTAAACTTTAAATGACCCCCCCTCTCCTCCCTGTAAATTCGTAAAAATATCGCTCAAACCAAATTTCCTTTCACGCCTCGGTATATTATAAGTAATGGTAGGATTCCGGCATACATAACAAAAAGACAGTTTGTATTTTTTGAAGACTACCCCCTAATTTACGAGACTGATGTGTTCCAACAGGGAACATTCTAGAGCGCACCACGGTCACTCCCATGCCCATGGGCACGTGCACGCTCCACCGTCGTCGATAGCGTCCGTGGCCTGGATGGTGATCATGGGTGACGGCCTCCACAATTTCACAGACGGCATGGCCATTGGTGAGCTTTGAAATAACTAGCTTCGACTTTAGCATCATTCAACGCGACGAACTTATTGAGGCTTATGCGAAATTTGAATTCTGTATTGACACACCAATATTTATAACATAACTAGCTGACCCGGCAGACTTTGTAGTGCCTCAATCGATAAATAAAAGACCTAAACTTTTGTATAAAATAAACTTAAAACAAACAAAAGGAATCCGTCGGACTGGGGACACATCAAAGGGAAAACAAAATTGTTATTTTTATTTAATTCCGAGCATTTTCATATTTATCTACATTTTAAACCTTCTCTGGACTTCCACAAATAATTCAAGACCAAAATTAACCGAATCGGTCCAGCCGTTCTCGAGTTTTAGCGGGACTAACGAACAGCAATTCATTTTTATATATATAGATAATTAGTAAAGTATAATCCACCCACACATCGCCCTGTCTATTTCTGCCGTGAAGCAGTATTGCGTGTCGGTTTTAAGGGTGATGCAGCCGTTGTAACTATACTGAGACCTTGGAACTTATATCTCAAGTTGGGTGGCGGCATTTACGTTGTAGATGTCTATGGGTAACCACTTAACATCATGTGGGCCGTGAGCTCGTCCACCCACCTGAACATAAAATAACGCTTCAACAGCCAAATGAAATTGGTAAGACGAAACTGGATATCGGAAATTAATATATCATAGCCGCTACGGGTTGCTGTTCCAATTTCATACAAGCACTGAGTTAACTTTTACGCTATCGAGAACGTTAAAAAACTCTCACTAAGCACATAGACTGTGGAAGCGGCCGGCTCGCTAAAAATTTAATGTTGATAAAGCCCACTGAGTTTCTCGCCGGATCTTCTCAGTGGGTCGCGTTTCCGATCCGGCGGTAGATTCTGCGAAGCACTGCTCTTGCTAGAGTTCGTGTTAACAACGTCGTCAGGTTTGAGCCCCCTGAGCTCACCTACTAGTTAAGGTTACGCTGAAATAGCCCCTAAAAGCCGAATACAATCGTGCCTTTCTCATTACACAGGTGCAGCGTTCGCATCCAGCATAGCAGGTGGATTCTCGACCGCCATCGCGGTGCTCTGCCATGAACTTCCTCACGAGCTTGGTAAGGAACTGGAACTGGAATAGTGTGCGTCACAATGAGACTGGTTTTTTTAGAGGGTTTTCTGACTTGGTAACTAAGACTTTTAAGTCGTGTCTCATTTTTATTTATATTCTTATTTTTATGAAAAACGATAATATGGAGTGAAATGAAATGAAGATGTTTAATTTGAGACATTAATCAACTGGGATGAAATAAATGAATTGAGATGAGATGATATGGGATGTAATATAATCTTATTAAAATGGTGGTAATTTACTGAGATTTTTTCAGTGGACTTTTTAGAGGATCCCGAGAAATTACGCTTTGTTTAATTTTCCCACATTTGTGCATTTTCACAGATACTTAACAGTTAATGTACCACCGTTATTACACATTTAAACCTGAAGAAACACTAAATAGACAAAATAAAACAAATCACACAACTTCACTCCTCGCGTGCCTGCCAAAAAGTCCAATAAGACTGGTTGTTCTACTATTAGCGCAATCTGTGCCTTTATTTAACCGACTTTAAAAAAAAGAGGTTCTCTATACTGGGCTGGTTTTTTTATATATCTATTTTTTTATCTGACAACCCTCTGGTCTCCTTGTCGAATAGCTAGGGTTTTTCTGAAATAAAAAATAGAAACATTCTGAACCATCAAATAAAATCTTTGGTTATGTTTCTCCTAACATATTTACTAAACGCTGCAAACAGTACTTAAAGGGGAACAACGTCTTTCGTAGCTACGTTTGACAGCTGTCAAATTTGACACGTGTCATCGTGAATTCCCTTTGTTCCATCGTTGATGTTAATTAATACGCTTTTATTAGCTTCAGACGTATGTATGTTAGTATGTAACGGAATCTTTGAACATGATTTTGACCCCCTTCAAAACGTCGGATTAACTCGAAATTTGGCATATTTATTAAGAACCGATGACAATGATTAAAAAAAAATTGAAAAAATTGAAATTTAACTAAAAAATGAAAAATAAATAATAGTTTAAAAAACAATAAAAAACGCTTTTATAGAAAATCCAACTAAAAAGTAGAAAATAAAAAAAGCGTGGGTTGCTTTTCAGGATATTATCAAAATAACCCTTCTACTCAAATCTGTTCATAAAATATTTATAACTACTGTTACCATGCACCCCACACTTTATTTTACAATAAAATCATTTTTCTTACACTATTTTTAATTTAAATTTATTAAAATTTATTTTCTATTTTTTTTTTGTTTTTTTAAACTATTATTTATTTACAAATATCGTTTTCAGGCGATTTCGCGGTTCTCCTGAAGGCGGGCATGTCTGTTAAGCGTGCTGTCTGCTACAACATACTGTCGTCGGCTCTGTGCTTGGCGGGGATGGTCTGCGGGGTCCTGGCCGGGCACGCCCCCTCAGCCACCAGGTGGCTATTCGCAGTGGCAGCTGGCATGTTCCTCTACATAGCCCTCGTTGATATGGTAAGTTTGATCAGGCGGGTACCAATTTTTCTAATGAAATATGTACTTAAGAAATGTTCACGGTTGACTTCCACGGTGAAGGAATAATAACATCATCTAATAAAAATCAAACCTCTCATTTGCGTAATTACTGGTCGTAGGACGTCTTTTGAGTCTGCACGGGTAGGTACCACCACCCTGCTAGTTCTGCCGTGAAGCAGTAATGCGTTTCGGTTTGAATGGTGGGGCAGCCGTTGTAACTATACTGAGACATTAGAACTCATATCTCAAGGTGGATGGCGCATTTACGTTGTAGATGTCTATGAGCTCCAGTGACATAACACCAGGTGGGCTGTGAGCTCGTCCACCCATCTAAACAATAAAAAAAACCTGCAACATTACCTTATAGTGGAGACTTTATTTTTTCATTGAAAAACCCCTCAAATGTAGTTTCAGTATCACCATTTTTGGCTAATTCTACCGCGACGCAATCATGCTGCAATCTTTAAAAGCGTAGGAGCTTCAATTTCTTATCTCAAATCAGGCGTCGACCTAAACCAGCGGTCGGGGAACTTTTTTTTATTATTATCCCAAAATATTTTTGTGTAAGTTGATATTACCCCATGGCGAGGAACAAAAAAAAACCGAAATCGCTTCTTTTTAGCATCTTTCATATTACTAGAGGTCCCGCAGTAGTCGAAATTCGACTATAATTAATTGGAATTGTAAGTTTGTACACTATTATGATTGTATTTTATACTTCTATAATCACAAATTTCGCCATGACTTCACTATAAAAAATATTAACTAAGACAAATAATATAAATCTATTCTCAATTTGACCACAGACGTCAAGAACAAAAGTTTGACAATAAATGTATGCATGCGTGTTGCATCAAATACATGGTATGTAGTGTGTGTAATGTTTTCTGTATTGATTTAATGTATCTTTTATGCATTATTTAAAAAAAATACTAGCATTGTGCACTTCTTCTCTATATGAGTCGACTATTATCAAAGGCGGCAATCTGACTTTTGGACAATTATTGGTAAATCAGAAAAACGAATTATTGACTTTGTATTCCATTGGCAGTCACAAAACTCTTCGGAACGACATCTTAGATAAATAACAGGTTAACTATTAACCTTTATTTAATGCAGGTTTTGAACCGTATTCTTTGAAGGAGACGATTATANTTTGTATTCCATTGGCAGTCACAAAACTCTTCGGAACGACATCTTAGATAAATAACAGGTTAACTATTAACCTTTATTTAATGCAGGTTTTGAACCGTATTCTTTGAAGGAGACGATTATATTCAAATAAATCTGTATTGACATATCAATAAAAAAAAATTGTCCAAATGTACAGATTGCCACCTTTGATAATAGACGACTCATATTCTCTATAAGTGTGAAAATTTCATACTCCTCCGTCCGCGCAATTTTCGTAGAAAGGGATACAAAGTTTTTGCTTCACATATTAATATATAGATAGCCCCCATGATAATTTTGAAAAGAAAACAATAACTAAAAATTTAACGGTTCTAAAGAAGTTTCACTTCAATATACCTAATATACTTTTTACTCACAATTGGAGTAATTTACCTCGGTTCCCCGACCGCTAGCCTAAACCCTATTGGTTCTACGGAGACCGTTAATTGTCTTTAAACCACCCCCACAATTCAATTTGAGCAAATCAAACATTGCATCATGTTCATCCGCAGATGCCTGAACTTAGCACGTCTCACAGCAACGAGGGTACGCTATGCCAATGTGTGCTGCAACTGATGGGTCTAGCCAGCGGCATCGGTATAATGCTGGTCATCGCCTTATACGAAGATGACCTCAAGAACTTGTTCGGCTGAAAGTGAAAGTGCCAATTTTAATAAAAATCGATCGTTGCCATACGAGAAAAAAACGTTCTAAAGATCAAACAAACGACCGCAAATCTTAAATTTGTTTTTCTCGTCTGGCAACCTCGCTCGTTCGAAGACTCGAAAGAAGACAATGTGATCGTTAAATGTTTAAGAATTCCAAGTGCTGTTCGACCCGCGTGCCTAATGTTCCGTTCGGAGACGTCAAAGTGACAGCTGTCAGTTTGACGTTTATCCCACTGACAGTTTTGTGAGCGTGTCTGACTGACCTCGGCGTGTGTTCCTTTTTGTTTACGCAATTTTAACAACGGCAATTAAGGAAAACCTTTGAGTGAATCATAAAGAGGAGTCCCTTCTTTATGAAGGACTAAGAACTGTTCAGTGTGTTCCTTCCGTAAGCGAAAGCATGAATTAAACTTAAAAGTATTACTTACTAATTACAACTATATTAATTTTAATTTAAAGTGTCTTCAAATTTTTTTTTTTTTTGTATTTTTAAAATCGAAACAAAAATAAGTTTTTCGTAAATGTAAATATTTTAATGATAAATGTACTTAAGATTAATGATACGTTCACAGTGGATAAATAAATAAATAAATAAATAAATATACATATATATATACTTATATATGTAAATTGAAATCATAATGTGTTTTATGTGCGGCCTAATTAACAAATGTGAATCTTCTTTAGTGACAAACCGTAATTAACTTGAATAATTATTAACTAATTGGACAACGGATATTGATTCTTAAAAGTTATAATGAATGTTAACAATATTAAAATTGACTCATTGACTAAAATGAATTGATTTTAACATTTTTCTACAATGCCTAAAGCATCAGTGGTTGGCTTGTCATTTCTTTGACCCCAAATGACGTCAGACATAATATATGATTGTAATAAAAACATTTATTTAAATATACTTTACAAGGCAAATAATTTATTATAAAAAGAAGAACATAATATTCCTAAATAACCTGAAAGTACAATACTTACTTACTACTGATTGTAATTGTGTAAAACAATAAGCTGTTCCCTATTTTGATTTGAAGCATAAAGCTGGTCTAAATTGAAGATCAGGTTCAATTCTAAAGTTTGACAAGAGAGTGATGAAGACCAATCTTTATAATCTGACTGTATCGGTGGTGTAGTAGCTAGCATCCTTAACTGCTGGGGTGAGGGTCATCGGGTCGATTCTGATATCGAGCAAACATCTGTGTGATGAACAGATTTGTTTTCTCTTTGACTGGGTGTTTTAGCCATATACTCACATATCGCACATACAGTGCAATAACATATGCAAAATTATGTAATCGCCATCGGAGTAGAGTTCATCCGTACTACCTGGAGCCACTGCGGTCATCCACAGTGCGTTTCCAGAGATCTTTTTTGCCACGTACCATCCGGCTATGGAATGAGCTCCCCTCCACGGTGTTTCCCGAGCGCTATGACATGTCCTTCTTCAAACGAGGCTTGTGGAGAGTATTAAGCGGTAGGCAGCGGCTTGGCTCTGCCCCTGGCATTGCTGAAGTCCATGGGCAACGGTAACCACTCACCATCAGGTGGGCCGTATGCTCGTCTGCCTACAAGGGCAAAAAAAAATAAAAAAAAAAAAATTCCTGGAGAAACGTTGGAAAATTCAACATCTTATATAAGTTCTGCTAGGCTATAGAAATAAAATGATAATATTTTAACTTCATCAGTAAAAGTAAACATCTCACTCATCTCACTAATAAGTGAAGCAGTAATGCGTTTCGGTTTGAAGGGTGCGGCAGCCGTTGTAACTATACTGAGACTTTAGAACTTGTATCTCAAGGTGGGTGGCGCGTCTACGTTGCAGATGTCTATGGGCTCCAGTAACCACTTAACACCAGGTGGGCTGTGAGCTCGTCCACCCATCTAAGCAATAAAAAAAATAAAAAAACTATTAAAAATGCATTTTCTCATACTCAGTTCAGCGTTAACAAAAATTGCATAAGTGACTATAGCATCCTCCTCCTCGCGTCGTTTTCCTCATTACTGAGGGTCGTGACTCTCGCGATGCATCAGTTTCTTCCGTACGATTTCCCTCCATCTTCTACGATCCTTAGCTTTGTGGAAGGCATTGTGGAAGTTGATGTCCAGAGAAGATCGTATTTGGTCCGACCATCTCGTAGGACTGCGTCCTCTGGGACGTTTGCCATCTACCTTTCCTGTCACCATCAGCTGTTCAAGATTATGACCCTCTTTACGAGCAATATGTCCGAAGAATTCCAGCACCCTACGAAGGCATATAGTGGAAAGTCTGGCTTTGACATGAAGCTCTCTCAGAATAGACACGTTGGTGCGAAAGGCGGTCCATGGAATCTGTAGCATTTTTCTCCAGCACCACATTTCAAAAGCGTCTATTCGGTCTCTGTCGGCCTTCTTCATTGTCCAGGTCTCCGCGCCATAACTGAATATGGAGAAAACTAGCGAACTCACCAATTTGGTTTTAGTTTTTCGCGTGATGTTACGGTCTCTCCATATCTTATGCAGCTGGGACATTGCATTTTTGGCCATCCCTATACGTCTTCTTATCTCTTTTTCGCATGATCCTGTGTTATTAATGTTAGACCGTAGGTAGACGAAGTCGCTCACGACGTCAAGGTTCAGCGTTCCCGTTAGTTCAAGGCTGTTGGTTCGATCCACAATCATCACTTTGGTTTTGCTGTGATTGACTTTTAGACCCAACAGCAAACTGATGTTCTCAATTCGAGCAAGGAGGTTCACCATCTCGATTTCACCTGCAGCAAGAAGTGTGGTGTCATCTGCGTAGCGGAGGTTGGTTATTTTAGTGCCACCTATTGTGACTCCGCCCTCCCAACCCTCATACTATAGCATAGTAGGTATGTGCGATATATCTATATACTCACATATTGAAATATATATAAATGTTCATATCAGACTGGTACCTGTATATAGGATATTCCGTACAGGGATTCCTAGTTTGGGCTCGGTAAACTGGGTGTGGCTTGTCTTGGTTAATTAGCAGTGAATCTATATCGCTGTCTCTCTCAAACCTGGTGACGTCGGACGTTATTATACCTGTCTTCTTGTTTGTTAAGCATCAATCAACCTTGCATTCGATTTCAAAAAAATGGGGTACCTCAATGCAATTAGATTTGATGCTTAACACTAATCATACCAACGCTTACTGGTATCTATTTCTATCACAGCGGGTAGATACGACATATATCACTCAAAATAAACAAAACAAAACCACAAAAGTATAATAACTGTAGATTAATTGGTAAGAAATAGTCATGACTCAAGATGAGTCATTTGACCCATTGTGGTATGGTTAGTGTTAATTGTAAAGCTTTTGGGTTCTAGAGAATATAAAAGCGATAGGCAGGTATTTGACTCTGCTCTTAGCGTTGGGAACTTCTGTGAGTGACGTTAACCACTTACTATCAGGTGGGCCGTATGCTCGTCTGCCTAAAAAATTATACATACTATAGGGCTGTCACTAATATAAAGAAATCTTGATTTTCATCTAGAACAGACAGGTGACCTTCCATGTCGGTGTTGTCTAAAGATCGAAAATTCTTTATTTATGGATAGCAATAAGGTAGCTTTTTTTTTCAAGTCGACTATTTCAATATTGGTGAGAAATTGAAGCAAGTTACGAAATAGATCAAACAAAAAAAATAAGGACAAATCGCCACATGATCATCGGCTTCAAAAATATCACGGGAATCGTAGGCGTTCATTTATGCAGATATCAAAAATTCAAGTATGCAGCAAAGAAATCTGTTCGTCACTCGAATGTGGTCGCTGTACTGCGCCGCCGATTCAATCTTTAGTTCTGCGTGTTGAATGTTCCATGAGGGAGTGCTTTGAGATATTGTTCGAGATGGTCTCGCTATCTACCGCTTGAGAATTTTGTCAATTTTTTGCTGAATAAACTTAGTGCCGCCACTCAGCTTGAGAGGTCGAGATCTCAATTGTATTGTACAACGGCTGGACCACTCTTTAACCAGGAACGCGTGAATGCAAAGAGATGGTGATACCTACCGGTGCTGGTTAACAATACCCCAATCACCAGTTAACGTACTTAATGTTAACACGGTAATGCGGTCTACATATCTATGCTAGTAGACGGCGGGTGTTATGAGCGCCGATACTAATTTCAATCATTTAGGCCGTATGATATTGGTAGCCTTCGGTAATATTTAAAAAGAAAAGTAAACTTTGACAGGTGTCACTTTCAAAAATATCAACGGGATTATCACGTTTTTTTTTTGTCCTTACTAAACTCTTCAACAAAAGTAGGTATTGCATTTCAAATAACTAATTGCAAATTATCCCACAGCCCACTGAGTTTCTCGCCGGATCTTCTCAGCGGGTCGCGTTTCCGATCCGGTGGTAGATTCTGCGAAGCACTGCTCTTGCTAGGGTCAGTGTTAGCAACTCTCCGGTTTGAACCCCGTGTGCTCACCTACACACGCTAGGGTAAGCTGAAATAGCCTCTCATGGCTATCAGTATAGGTAGGGAAAAAAAAGCAAATTATTGAAATTCAATATTTGCTATATTTTGCTATAAAATATATTTTATATAGGACAATGCTTTATTTGCACGAGTGTTTTTTTGTGGGAAGGCATTACTTTGGCATCAGTGTTACAAGTGAGGGAGTTCGTATAGAGTCCCTTCTTTATTTCGCCGTAAAGTCGTGTTTTATGTAATTAGCATCACAGTTAAAACAATATAACTTTTATTGATGTAGCGGCATCAACAATTCTAGGTTAATTACATTAGTTATTAAATACATTATAAATTATTTTTACGTTTTAAATTTTCGGCGGTAAAAAGGTCCCGTGTTACAGACTATATTCTGTTTCCCACCGCTCGTGCGTTCCGGCTTACGCATCATAAAAAGGTGCGTACTTAAACGCCACACAAGTAATACAAAATTTGCATTTTCTTTAAAAGATAAGTCAATTTTAAAACAACTTCTCGGTTATTCGTCTCATTGAGAACGATTTACATCCTTTTAGAAATAGATACGCATCTTTAAAATAAAACATATTATTTTAGAATTGGACTATGTACATTTCAAAGTTCAGGTAAAATGTGTTAATATTGTAATAGGTTAAGGTTAGGTAAAGTTGTTACGTCATAAGTCATTTGGGGCTAAACTGAAGACAGGCCAAGCATAATCTGTAAACTGATGTACATCAATTAGACACGACATAACTCCGAATGGCAAATTTTCGACGTTAAAAAAATGTTAAAATTGTGAGTTACACAAACAATAAAAAAAGGTTAACATTCATTTAATAACATTCCTCGTACCTGCGTGACTTTCTAGATTATTTTATCGGTGTCTCGTTACCGGTATAAAAAAAGATAACATGTTTAAGACGATGACGCGAATTCCGGTTTTTGGCCAGTAGCAAATAAATCGTTTTCAGGCTGTATATTCTTTGTTTTTTTTTTAAATATTAACATAAGTCACACACGTATTGGCCTATTGACTAAAAGGTTTCTTGTATCCTCAATTAATAATTAAAATTAGCGATTTCAAGATTTAAATTAACGTAAGGTAGATTTTTCAATTAATAAATTTGTATAAAACGAAAAATTGTCTAATTCATAGGCGACTCCATTTACTTTTGTGATATAAATCTATATATTTGTGTTTGCTATTTTAAAAAAAAAAAATTGTCAAACTATCACACAGGTACTTAAAATAGTTTTGTTGGCAATGCCATGTCATTGTGGGTGTCCTTAAAACGATCACTGACTTATAACAAGGCCTCCAATTATTATTAATCAAGATAATCTAAAGTCGTATGTTCACACACACACTTTCTATCTCTTTCTTGCATTTTCAAACAGAGCGAGACAAATGTCACGTATGACGTACGTATTTTGTTTATTTATTTATTTAAAACGGCATTTTTTTCATATCGTGCCTTGTTCCTATTCGTGCCTAAAATTATTTTTCATTTTCCAATTAATCTTGATATTTAGAGTATTTAAAACAAACAAAAAAAAAAAACTTCAGAGGTGTCAAGGGACACCCGGATGGAACGAAGTTCCTTTCGATTAATTAGTGAAGGAATTGTAATTTTTTTTTAAAGTTCTAATAATAAATTACGGCATTATGAAGAAGGAAAAAACAATACTATGAACTAAATTACTATTGTTGAAACGCTATCTCGAGAAACTGTACTCATTACGCGGACCAATCGGATACGAGCAATGTCACGCGATAAGCGCCTACACGTTGATTGGTCAGAATGACGGATCTAAAAAGTGTCGTGACAACTTTTCGTAAGAATTTTTCCGTCTAGCCCCCTTTCACAACGCGCGATAAGGANTAAATTACTATTGTTGAAACGCTATCTCGAGAAACTGTACTCATTACGCGGACCAATCGGATACGAGCAATGTCACGCGATAAGCGCCTACACGTTGATTGGTCAGAATGACGGATCTAAAAAGTGTCGTGACAACTTTTCGTAAGAATTTTTCCGTCTAGCCCCCTTTCACAACGCGCGATAAGGAACTTCGTTCCAAAAACAATTAAGGAATCTCTTATACGAATATTATCTTGATACTTAACTCAGACTTAACATAGGTAACTTAAATTATTTTAAAAATTTAATCTCAGAAATACGTAACGGAAGTGCTTAAATGAAATAAGTTATGTTTGAGATGATTTTGGTCATTTATTAAAATACACTACACAAGGTTGTATTTTAATTTTTAGTTTTGTGCCTATTAATTTATATTACTAGTTTCTATTATTAAATCATTCAACAAACTATAGTAAAATTCATTAAAATGCTACATCAAATATTTTTTTTTTTTTTTTTGTATTTAATATTGTAACTGTATCTATGAAATGTATTTAAAAAAAATGCTATTTTTATTTCACACCTAATCGTAATAAATTCTATTCTACTTGTTTAAAACTCACTAAAAAGAGACAGATACAATAAATCTACAAACTTGCATTTTTCAAATAGGAAAATCGATTTAAACATATCGATTAAACGCGCATGTCTCGATTTATTATATTCGTAAGTTATAAATTCATTTTAATAATTAAGTTATTACATAGTAATTTGACGAGTTCTAGGGCTATATGAGTTGAACTATGTATTTGTATGTACGCATATGTGGGTTTAATGTTCTGAGATAATATCGATATTACAAAATGGATGTGTTTTGTGTCGAATCAAAATGTCTTCCTTTTCTGATGATAGTAAAAACCTTAGATTCATATTTAAATAAATTAATGAAAAATCCTGAAATTCACTACGATTTTTTTTTTGTTATTAAAAATGATATTAACAATAGCAAAATATGTATTCAGATTTTAATTTGCGTTTTGTTTAGAAACTTCATATCTCACATTAACGAAGTCTTATCATGGTCACAATACAATACGTATGTACTGGCAACACTTAACTTTTGCAAGTATTTGAAGTATGAAGGGTAGAGGTTATGAGAACCGTCTCATATGGGAGGAAGCTTGAAAAAGTGTCCCACTTTCAGTACTTAATAACAGTTCAAAAGTCCTCCAGAATGGCGCTAGCACAGGCACTGGGTATTACGAGTATATGAATTGAGCAGTTGTTAACTGATTGAAGTATGCTGAGTTAGGAAATTTAATATACTAGACTATAATTAATTGGAACTCTAAGTTTGTACACTATTATGATTGTATTTTATACTTCTATAATCACAAATTTCGCCAAGACTACACTATAAAAAATATTAACAAAGAGAAACAATATTTAATCTATTCTCAATTTGATCACAGACGTCAAGAACAAAAGTTTGACAATAAATAGTATGCATGCGTGTGTGCGTAAAATACATGGTATGTAGTGTGTGTAATGTTTTCTTTATTGATTTAATGTATCTTTTATGCATTATTAAAAAAAAGACATTGTGCACTTCTTCTCTGTATTCTCTATAAGCGTGGAAAATTTCATACTCCTCCGTCCGCGCAATTTTCGTAAAAAGGGATACAAAGTTTTTGCTTCACGTATTAAATAGATTAAATGACTAGAGTAGTTAGTGACAGTGTAATATACAAGACCTCACATGTTTTCGTAGTCCAAACTAATTTCGTCAATATAACCTAAAATTATTGCTGTGGTAAAACGTGGAGACATCGATTGCATTTTCTTATCAGCTTTAAATAAAATACTTTTTGTGATAGTCCTTTTTCATTTCTCTATCTTATTCTAATAACTTACAGCGCCTTTTTTTTTTTAATTTACCCGGTTGCTACTGTAGCGCCACCCTTATTTAGCAGATTTTAACGGACACTTTTTCACACACAGAGACGGTTCTCCTTACCTCTACCCTCCATAATATGAAGGAACGCGTTTTTTTTTATAAATTCAATATCATAGACTACCTAATTTCAAGTCTTAAACGTCATGCAATATGGCGACTATTATTTTAGGCATATCTTAACAGGAGCGGACATTTTTTAGTGTATTTATATCCTCAGAACGGTTAATGTTTATATTGCGAAGCGACTGTAATCCGTTGTGGTCGGTGTTACTTGAACATTTGTATGTGATTAAATCAGGATCAAGAGTATTGCTTTTTTTTTTATAAGTTTCGCACCCACTTTGATCACGTGATAAAAACGCGTTCGAAGTCTCCCAATATATTTTTTATGTTTAAGGGACTACTAGTGGTCCGGAGACCTTTCCAGTTTCACCAGGACAGGTGGGCAAGCAAGGGCTCAGCCAGGAGGGATTTGCTAACAGTTACCCGAGCGTTTCCAAAGGAGACCCTAACGACTCAAGAGATCTGCTTCGCGAATCTAATACCGGATCGAAAACGTGATCCACTGAGAAGATCCGGCAAGAAACTCAGCGGCTTAAAGGACCAACGTTTCTCAAACTAAATTTAAAGGATTGATAAAAAAAAAAAAAACATCAAAAAAACATTCATAAAAAAAAATCGATAACGCTTTATTCAGATACGCTTACAATATGACATTTGTATTATGAAATTTATGGCGTGACGCGTTTCGGGTCTCTCGGGAACATTGAGGTCTTTCTGATGTTGTCCAGACCAAGATACAGCATCACGACGCGCTCCAGGCCGATGCCACCACCTGACGTCAGAGGAGAGAGTGATCACACAAAGAGCCTTATGGATTCTGACTTATAATACTATCACATAGTATCAAGTCTGTTGTTTTGGTGAGCTTCATTTTATAGCTTAGATGAGTGAATGAGCTCACGGGCATCAGCAACGGAAACGCCTACACCGATTTTGAGATATGACTATTCAGTTTTAGTAGCGGCCGCTGCAGCCGAGCGAGACGGCACTAGTCTCTTGTTTCACTCGATCCAAACTCTTAATCGTAACGCAATGAAGCACTTGAGGTTACATAGTTACATACATATTGATAAAAATAATCCCAATATGTAAGTATCCAACCGAATACCTATCTTTTGTAAATGCGTCCTCAAATGGACTAATAAAAAACTAAAATAGACCTTATTACAACCAAGACTACAGTAGTGTTACGCCGGTAAGAGTAACGCCATCTATCGTCGAATAGTAGAACGAATATCGAAGGATCTAGTAGCATCTAGAACGCTCGAGAAGTACAACGCCATCTATTGTCAGATAGCGGAAACACAATACTCGACTTGTGTGGAATATTCTCGACGTTTCTAGGAATTTCGTATAGACTATAAAGGCGTTGTAGAGATGGCACGAAGTCAGTCAGTAAGTAATCGGATCTACTCGAAGCGAAACAGCGAACGAAGCGGAAGAGGCGAATTAAGAGTTTTAAAAGTGAAGTGTTTTAAGTGTTCTAAGTGCTAATAGTGTTACCTTGTAATTCGATAGAATTTTATTTATCCCTAACCCAGGGGGGTAACAATAAATGTTTTTATTTTCTCACGCACGGAACGTATCCCTTATAACTTCATATAATATGTAAATTACAATTACACATACACGTCTTTCTGTATCCGCGGCATATTCACGGAACATGTACTCCGCGAATGAATATATTTTACTGTATTTAAGAATAACGCGTCCGAAGAATTTTTTCGACGTGTTTGCTTGCTGCTTATAACAAGGTGAGGTCGTTTAGGACCTCCTCCCAGGGCCATACGCGTCCATTGTGAGGCATTGTGAGGCCCAAAGGCTCACAGTCCTCTCCGAGCCTGTACGAGCTTGCCACGGACATCCTATAGGGAGCCATTCCGGATGTGACGCCACTTAACCCACAGACACAGCCCACTGAGTTTCTCGCCGGATCTTCTCAGTGGGTCGCGTTTCCGATCCGGTGGTAGATTCTGCGAAGCACGGCTCTTGCTGGGGTCCGTGTTAGCAATGTTATCAGGTTTGAGTCGCGTGAGCTCACCTACTAGTTAAGGTTACGCTGATATAGCCTCTCAAGGCTGTCAGGTTAGGTAGGGAAAACAGTGACGTCAGCGGGGGGTTGCGGGGGGTTGGGGGACGTACCTGCGTGCGGGGGGCAGCCCAGCCGGAACGACTCGATGTAGGCCGCTATCTTGCTCGTGTCTGGAAATCAAACACGNAATGTTATCAGGTTTGAGTCGCGTGAGCTCACCTACTAGTTAAGGTTACGCTGATATAGCCTCTCAAGGCTGTCAGGTTAGGTAGGGAAAACAGTGACGTCAGCGGGGGGTTGCGGGGGGTTGGGGGACGTACCTGCGTGCGGGGGGCAGCCCAGCCGGAACGACTCGATGTAGGCCGCTATCTTGCTCGTGTCTGGAAATCAAACACGCGACCCTCTCAATAACGATCACTCATTAATCCGTCTAACGTAAAAATGGACAATTTTTGAAGTGAAGCTTCTTTAGAATCGTGATTTCAAAGTCCATGAAACGGAAAATAAGTCCATAGAGACACATACACATAAATGTAGATAGGATTCAGCCGGCGAGAGAATGAGAGAACGCATTATACGTGAAGTTAAAATATCATTTCACAGAGGGCGCTACCTCATACTATAAAAGATGATTTACAATTATTTACTGATGACAAAATTTTACATATATACTTAGATATCCTAGGATAATTGTATTTTTAATTAATAATAATAGATAATTGTAATTCAAAATACAGTTTAGCTTAGTAAAGCTATAGCACAAATTGAGTTGCTCTTATAAAGAGAAACAACATTTAAAGCTATTTTACACCATTTTATATATTAATATTTTCAAAAATGCTTTTTTTATGTCTAATGTTCTTTCTAATGTTTTTATGTTTCAATATTAGAAATTCTATTTATGTCATATTTATAGCATATTAACCTCTTTTAAGATTAATCGTATAGAGGTTACATATATATATATATATATATATATAACATAAATGTTCAAAAATTAAAATACAATTATCCTAAATGTCTTAAGTATATGTAAAATGTTGTCATTAGTAAATAATTGTAAATCATCTTTTATAGTATGAGGTAGCACCCTCTGTGAATTGATATTTTAACTTCACGTATAATGTGTTCTATCTCATTTGCGTCTCTATGGACTTATTTTTTCGTTTCATCGACTTTGAAATCACAACGATTCTAAAGAAGTTTCACTTCGATAATCTCTGCTGTATAATAGCCGTGCTTTGGTAGCAGCGGGAGGGGGGTTGGGGGTTATGACTGCCGTGCGCCCCCCAGCCCCCCGTGACGTCACAGATGACGCAGTTACCGACGCCGTGGAGACGCGCGCGCTCGGCGAGGAGGTCCGGGTCGTGGATCCGCTGGGCGCCGCTAAGTATCTCCTCTCCGCGCATGAACATGTCGTACGAATTTGAATATTTCTGTGAACAAAACCATTACAGTTCTTACCGGTCGAATTAACGACCGTCTGGTGTAGTGGTAAGTGACACATGGTCACTACACAAAGGGGTCGCGGGTTCGAATCCCGCCAAGGGAGGACATTTGTGTGATAAATATAAAATGTCTTTTCCAGGGTTATGGATGTATACTAAATATATGTACGTGTATAATAAAAATCTTACATTTATTTCCGTTATCTGGCACCTGTAACACAAGTTCTTTACGAACTTATCACGGGACCAGTTAACGTGGCGTGATCGTTAGTAAATATTTATTTATTGTTTAAAAAAAACATATTTAACCCAGACACAGCCCACTGAGTTTCTCGTCGGATCCTCTCAGTGAGTCGCGTTTCCGATCCGGTGGTAGATTCTGCGAAGCACTGCTCTTGCTAGGGTCCGTGTTAGCAACACTCCGGTTTGAACCCCGTGAGCTCACCTACTATTTAAGGTCAAGCTGAAACAGGCCCTCAAGGCTTGATAGCCTATGCTGATGCATAGGTAGGAAATAAAAATCGATCTCATGCCTCAAGATGGATGACTTTTTAATACGCTTTTATTAGCTTCAGACGTATGTATGTATGTAACGGAATCTTTGAACATGATTTTGACCCCCTTCAAAACGTCGGATTAACGAACGAAATTTGGTATACTTATTAAAGACCGATGACAATTCAATATTTAAAAAAAAATTGAAAATATTTAAATTCAACAAAAAATTTAAAATAATAGTTTAAAAAAAAACAAAAAATGGTGTGCATGGTGTCAGTAGTTATAAATATTTTATGAACAGATATAAGTATTATATATATTATATATAAGGGTTATTTTGATAATATCCCGAAAAGCACCCCACGATTTTTGTTCACAATAAAATCATTTTTCCTTACACTATTTTTAATTCAAATTTATTAAAATTGATTTTCTATTTTTAGTTAGAGTTTCTATAAAAGCGTATTTTGTTAGTCTTTTTAAACTATTATTTATTTTTTATTGCTTCGTTTGGTGGACGAGCCCACAGCCCACCTGGTGTTAAGAAGTTACCGGAGCCCATAGACATCTACAACGTAAATGCCGCCACCCACCTTGAGATATAAGTTCTAAGGTCTCAGTATAGTTACAACGGCTGCCAAGTCCACTTACAGGGTTCCCGGGATCCGGCATGGTGTAGAAGGGTCTGACCGCAAGCGGGTACTTGTCCAGGATATAGAAGTCCGTGTCGTACTTGGCCCGCACCAGCCTGCCCAGGAGCTTCTCGTCCGGAGTGGACAGGTCGTCCTCGTCTCCAACAGACACTCCTGGGGATGCACGAGATCCGATCACGCACCATCCACTCGGTATAAAGCAGCGGTCGGGGAACCGGGGTAAATTACCCCAAATGGGGTAAAATAAATTTTTGGGGGGTAAAAATGAAACTTTTGTGAGTAAAAAGTATATATAGAAGTGAAACTTCTTTAGGACCGTTAAATTTTTTGTTATTGTTTTCTTTTCAAAATTATCATGGGGGCTATAATATGAAAGTTCCTAAAAAAAGTTTTTTTTTCTTCTTCGCCATGGGGTATATCATTGTACTAAGAGATCTGAATAAAAGGGGTATATCAACTTACACAAAAATATTTTGGGGTAATCATTAAAAAAGTTCCCCAACCGCTGGTATAAAGGATGAGTCGGGGATCATAAAATCGAAATTACGACCTCCGTATCTCAAAGTTTTTGAAGCATTCACCGATGAGAAGCGATCGTGACCATATATGTGTTTAGTGCTAGTTTTTTAACGTTCTCGATAGCGTAAACGTTAACTCAAATTTGTATGCAATTGGAACAGCGCCCCTAGCGGCAACATTCCAACTTTATACACTTTAACGCGATCGAGAACGCTAAAAAGCTCGCATTAATCACACTGCTCTAGACTGATGGCTTTATCATTCATACTTATAGTCCGTCCGCTAAAAGAATGCATTATTGACGGATCGTAATCAAAGTATTTAGTTGAGTTTGGTTTAACAGTTTAGTTAGGGACTGACAATAAATTTTGCAGAACTGCGGTATACTAATGAGGAATGATTATCAATTGTTATAGCTAGGGTAAATAAAGTTTAATTTTGATGATAATTGATTGATAGTGTTCTCTCAGCGACCGGACTATAGAAGGCTATTAAGACATTGTTAGGTTCGCTTATTACCTTTTGAGGCTGACCAGCAAATGGGTTCGGCTGATGGACATCAGACCAATGTATCGTTGAGACTGTAGTCAAGCCTCGTTTGAGGAAAAATGTGACGTCACTTAGGGAACAAATGGGAGTATTCATTCCAGGGTCGATTGGAGATTGGGTACAAAGATCTCTGATGATACAATCGTTTAGGCGAATTTATGGGTGGTTTTTTTATTGCCCTTGTAAGCATACGAGCATACGGCCCACCTGATGGTGAGTGGTTACCGTCGCCCATGGACTTCAGCAATGCCAGGGGCAGAGCCAAGCCGCTGCCTACCGCTTAATACTCTCCACAAGCCTCGTTTGAAGAGGGACATGTCATAGCGCTCGGGAAACACCGTGGAGGGGAGCTCATTCCGTAGCCGGATGGTACGTGGCAAAAAAATATCTAGAAATGCACTCTGAAAGCATCTCATCTCAAGTCATCTATCTCTAAAAGGGGTTCTCAATAACATTAGATGCGAAATTACTATATTTTTTAAGGTAATTTATAAGCTAGTAACTAAGACCTTTAAGTCTGGTCTTATTTTAATTTTAATAAAAACTTTTTTCTATGAAAAATGATATTTTTTTATTTTTTTTTATTGCTAGATGGATGGACGAGCTCACAGCCCACCTGGTGTTAAGTGGTTACTGAAGCCCATAGACATCTACGACGTAAATGCGCCGCCCACCTTGAGATATAAGTTCTAAGGTCTCAAGTATAGTTACAACGGCTGCCTCACCCTTCAAACCGAAACGCATTGCTGCTTCAAGGCAGAAATAGGCAGGGTGGTTGTACCTACCCGTGCGGACTCACAAGAGGTACTACCACCAGTAATGAAATGAAATGCAGTAGTTTAATATGAAACATGGCAAGAAATGAAATGAAGACGAAATGAAATGAGATGAGATGATATGGGATGAAATATAATCTCAATAAAATGGTGGTCATTTACTGAGACTTTTTCAGTGGACTTTTTGGAGGATCCCGAGAAGTTACGTCCAACGGCTTTGTTTCATTTTCCACGTCTGTGCACTTTCAACAACATATTAAACAGTTAATAAACCACCATTATTACACATTTAAACCTGAAGAAACGCTAAATAGACAAAATAAAACAAATCACACAACTTCACTCCTCGCGTTCCCGCCAAAAAGTCCGATATTACAATCAAATGGTTAGTATACAGCTTTAGGTCTTGGTCCTTTGGGACTTGGTCCTTTAAGTCCAAGGCTTCTCGACCACAACGAGGCGACACTCACCAGCTTCCTTCAGCATCTGGACGGCCTGCGGAAACTCCAGCTTCAGGGGAGGATCCAAGAATTTGAAGGGTTCCACCCGGTACTGTTGACCCACAGTCGCTATCTCGGAGGCAAACCTACAGTGGAACGTGACACACACTCCGCATATTAGATCAGCTCTATAGGCTTTCGCCTAGGTCAGCGGTCGGGGAACTTTTTTAATTATTACCCCAAAATATTTTTGTGTAAGTTGATATTACCCCATGGCGAAGAACGAAAAAAAAAACAAAATTGCTTCTTTTTAGCGTCTTTCATATTATAGCCCCCATGATAATTTTGAAAAGAAAACAATAACTAAAAATTTATTTTAAACATCATTTATTCAATTTATCAATGTAATAGCTAGTAATATTATACATAACGGTAATAATAGTAATTTATGTAATATATCGTGGAGAAAAAAAAATCACCCTCAGGGAAAATATAAGTAAATAATAATTTCTTGTCATTTTATAATTCCTATGATATTTTTCTGGTATTATTATTAGACGAAAAAACTAGTTTTAATTTTATATATAGTCCCCCATAAAAAAGCTTTTTAATTGAAATGTTTTTTTTTTTTGGGAAAATAAAAAAATAGATTTTATTATTATGTATATCAAACAGAAATGTTTTTTTTAAGAATAAAGCTTTAAAATTATATAATACATATATGTTATTCATTTTATAGCTATTAGATTTTTAAAAAATATTAGGGCTATCATTTTCGTCAGAAAAGCGAATATTTTTTCCTGAAGAAAATTATTTACATTAAAAAATATGTTTTATGGAGGCTATATATAAAATTTGAAACTAGTTTTTTCGTTTAATAATAATAGAAAAATACCATATGAATTACAAAATTACAACGATTCTAAAGAAGTTTTACTTCAAAATACCTATACTTTTTACCCCCCCCCCAAATTTTTATTTTACCCCATTTGGGGTAAAATACCGGGGTAATTTACCCCGGTTCCCCGATCGCTGACCTAGGTGGTTATTTTACATGTTTGAAAATGACAGTGACTTTGAATTTGTGACGGGCTCTGAAAACCAAAAAAAGAATGGCTGGCTAATTCGCTGGTAACCTAAGGGGCTATTCTTCTTTTTTTATTGATTAAATTGGTGGACGAGCTAACGTCCCATCTGATGTTACTGAAGCCCATAGACATCTACAACGTGAATGCGCCACCCACTTTGAGACATGAGTATAAGATCTCAGTATAGTTACAACGGCTGCACCACCATTCAAACCGAAACGCATACTGCTTCACGGCAGAAATAGGCAGGGCGGTGGTACCTACCTAAACGCACTCACAAGACGTTCAACCATCAGTAAAACTCCAACCTAGCCTGGGCCCTAGCAAGAACCGTGTTTCGCTGAATCTACCACCAAAATCACGACCCGCTGAGACAGATCCGGTGAGAGACTCAGCGAAGGCCTAACGTTTTTTGTCGTGACTCACTGGTCCCTTAGCCCCCGGAACATTTCCGTGAAGGTGGCCCCTATGGTGTCCAGGACCTCGTGGTAGTGCTGCTTGAAGGACATCTCTAGGTCGAGCCCCACAAACTCGGTGAGGTGACGGTGGGTGTTCGAGTCTTCGGCTCTGAACACAGCCCCAACCGTGAACACCTGTACGTCAAGCACGGAAACCTATATACCTAGTCAGGTCATAAATTCTGTCACGTTTAATGTAAAATAATTGAAACAAGTTTATTCATTATGTAACCATTCATATACCAAAATGAACTTAACAAAACATAGATTCTTATGACACTAAAGTTTATTCAAAATGACCTCCGTGATTTTGAATACAGGCCTTCAATCTGCGCGGCCAGTCGTCTATCGCAGCANTAAGCCTGCTCCTAGAGCTGAAGGCGTCTAGTGCGAAGGTTATTGGATCTGATGGATCCGTAAGGACGTGTCTAGGGCGTCGACGGTGACTGGCTCCTGCATGATCAGGATTCGGGGAGTAGTCAGCGGCGGCTACGATAAGGCGATTATCATGACGCATAGCCTTATCGAAGTACCGTTCCGACGCTGACTTCATGTATTTCTGTATAGATTCAGCTTCACCCTAACGTGTTTAGGTGAGCTGATGGGGCTCAAGCCTGACGACGTTGCTAACACGAACCCTAGCAAGAGCAATGCTTCGCAGAATCTACCACCGGATCGGAAACGCGACCCACTGAGAAGTTCCGGCGAGAAACTCAGTGGGCTGTGTCTGTGGGTTAATTCGATGACCGGTGCTTGAGGTACCTAAAAGCACCGTTAATGGATCAGGAGGATCCGTAATGACGTGTTTTGGGCGACGTCGACTGTTTACCATTCGATCTACAGGATCGGGTGTGTAATTCCCAGCGGTCACAACAAGAGGGTTCTCATGTCGTGCCGCCTTCTCAAAGTAGCGCAGCGATGCCGACTGTAGATACTTAGGATTCGTAATGTATACGGAAACGGACCATTACATTAGACCAGTGTTTCCCAACCTTTTTTGTGTCACGCTCCACTGTAGCATTCCTAAAATTTTTATGCCCTCCATACATAAGTTTTAACATTAAAATATTTATTTGTTAACTCAAGAATCTTAAATGATAGGTTTTACTAAATGCGTAAGCATGTATACGCAGTACATATACCAAAATAACATTTATTTTTAACTAGAGACCCGCCCTCGCTTCGCTTCGGAAACATTAAATTTTATTATTGAATAGTTGAGTGCCGCGATACTACCCGCGGTTTTTGTCGTATCGCGGGTGACGCCGCGGGGCGAAGCTAGTCTAAAAAAAGTAGCCTAAGTTACTCCTTATATCATCAGCTACCTGTCAGTGGAAGTCCCGTCAAAATCGGTCCAGCCGTTCCAGAGATTAGCCGGAACAAACAGACAGACTCACGGGGCTCAACCTGAGAGAATTTGCTAACACTGACCCTAGCAAGAGCCGAGCTTCGCAGAATCTACCACCTGATCGGAGACGCGACCCACTGAGAAGATCCGGCAAGAAATTCAGTGGGCTGTGTCTGTGGGTTAATTTACTCCTCGAGCCCTTCGTCGCGATCTTTCGAACGATGGTTCCGCCTATTACGGAACACCCTGTATACAAGTTCCCTACAGCAATGATTCGTCGATCTGAAGATCTTCCCTATGTGGTTTCCTGTAAGCGTGTACCTTGTCGAAGTCCGCCGCGATCGCCATCTGCTTGTATAGCTGAGGGCTCTGCGCGAGATACGCCGAGGACTTGAAGTAGGAGACGGTGAACACGTTAGCGCCGCCCTCGGACGCGGCAGATATTATCTTCGGCGTGTGGATCTCGACGAAGCCTGACGACGACGGGATGGTTTTGTCAGTGACAATGGACCGTCATGGGGGCGTGCGAGGGAGACAGCACGATCGATGTTTTAGATACCGAAATTGATTGATCGGTTGTAGATTAAACGGATATTTTAAAGAAAATGGTGAAGAACTAAAAAAAACAATTGTTAATCTCGTCAGGGAAAAATGAATCTAGAATGTTTTCTTTTTTTTTTACATTGAAAATAATTCAATGAGTAGGAAAAATTATCAAATATATTTTAGATATTCGAAAAAAAAACATACACTTATGTACTATGGAGGGTAAAATTTAAGGAGGATCAGACTTTTTGGCGGGAACGCGAGGAGTGAAGTTGTGTGATTTGTTTTATTTTGTCTATTTAGTGTTTCTTCAGGTTTAAATGTGTAATAACGGTGGTTAATTACTGTTTAGTATCTGTGAAAGTGCACAAATGTGGGAAAATGTAACAAAAGCGCTGGACGTAGCTTCTGGGGATCCTCCAAAAAGTTTACTGAAAGAGTCTCAGCAAATGACCACCATTTTACTGAGATTATATTTCATACCATATCATCTAATTTCATTTCATTACATTTCACTTCATAAAGGTCTAAAGGTCTTAATTACCAGGTCATAAAATTCCTTAAAAAAAAAGGAGCATCATCTCAGTGTATTAGAAAGTGAGCGCTGAAAAAGAACCAATTAAGATGGCGCCACTGTAGCAAGTGGAAGGATTTAAATAACAGCGACATAAGCTATTAGAGTAGGATACTAAATTAAAAAGGCAAAAAACAATTCCTAAGTAAATAATAATCAAAAGAAATACATATTGTTGAGATTTTAAATATTGCATACTTTTTAACTACACAAATCATGAAAAATATTAATTTTTTTCAATCCAACACCCTTAATTCTGTTTAAAACTGCTATATTCGCATCATTTCCACATCTTACACTAGCGCTATTTCGGTGAGTCTTCCAACAACAACTTACTGTTTACGGACACTACAACTTGGTCCCCTAAACAAGATGGCGCTTCTTACATCTACCCTCCAAAATATGTGTCAACATCCCTGAAGAGGTCAATACCATTTGTTTGGCCACGATCTTGATAGACTTTGGGGGCGATAAGGGCGCGGGTGTCGTTAATTACTACCCCACAGGTTTTTTTTCATTGCCTAGATGGGTGCACGAGCTCACAGCCCACCTGGTGTTAAGTGGCAACTGGAGCCCATAGACATTTACAACGTAAATTCGTAACCCACCTTGAGATATAAGTTCTAAGGTCTCAGTATAGTCACAACGGCTGCCCCGCCCTTCAAACCCCTCATTACTGCTTCACTTCATTACCCCGAAACGCATTACTGCTTCACGGCAGAAATAGGCAGCGTCCACCACCCTGCCTATTTCTACCTACCCGCGTGGACTCACAAGAGGTCCTACCACCAGTAATTACGCAATTTAATTTTTTTACGGGTTTGATTTTTATTACACACGATGTTATTACTTCACTGTGGAAGTCCATCGTGAACATTTGTTAAGTACGTATTTCTTAACAATTGGTACCCGCCTGCGGGATTCCAACACCGGTGCATCGCTACGCACGATTGCACCGGATGTCTTATCCTTTAGGCCACGACGACCTCAGCGGCTCTAGGTTTATATCGGCGAGGATCTATACGACCTTTCTTCGTGAGGATATCCCTGAAGAGCCTGCAGACCCCGGCCTCGATCCTGAATACGGCCTGGTTGGCCGGCGTGCGCAGATCCAAAACCCGATTGTCGAGCCGGGTGTCCTGGTTCACGCGGATCTTCAAGGCTTCCGGCTCCTACGGGTCACGGAGGACATAAAGACATTACGCAAATTATTAAATTTTCCGCTGCGCTTCGTTTTGCCCCCAAAGTAATGACCATCTCCGACGTACAGTATGTAATTTTATCTTTTCCAGAATTTCTGTAAATCAAACGGTTGTCTGGAAGAGATCGCTTTTTTTATCGCCCTTGTAGGCAGACCTGATGGTGACTGGTTACCGTCGCCCGAAGACTTCAGCAATGTCAAGGGCAGGGCCAGGCCGCTGCTTTTAGCGATAAGACCCCCTATTATACAAATATACTTGTTGACTGTTTTTTTTTATATTGTGTGTCTATGTACTATTGCGCTTCTAGCTGGTAGGTTCCCCCAGCCGTCGTACTATACAACTGCTACATAGAATCCATGTCTCGGGGCACCTGTCCCAAGCAATAAAAAGTACATTGAAACATGAGGTGGAATCACTTTAGGAAGGCGGCACGACATGAGGACCCTCTTGTCGTGGCCGCAGGAAACTACATACCCGATCCTGTAGACCGAGTGGTAAACCGTCGACGTCGCCCAAAGAACGTCATTACGGATCCTTCCGATCCATTAACGGTGCTTTTAGGTACCACAAGCACCGATCATCGAATTAACCCACAGACACAGCCCACTAAGTTTCTCGCCGGATCTTCTCAGTGGGTTGCGTTTCTGATCCGGTGGTAGATTCTGCGAAGCACGGCTCTTGCTAGGGTCAGTGTTAGCATCACTCCAGTTTGAGCCCCGTGAGCTCACCTACTAGTTAAGGTTACGCTGAAATAGCCTCTCAAGCTTAAGTTCTCGCGACAAGTGCTGCATCAGCTCACTATACATCCTGCAAGTAAAGAGGGGACACTCACATCGCTCTTCTCCGGTCTGGCCGCGTCCTCGATCTGCAGCGGAAGCTGGGATCTGGCGCTCGACACTGTCCATATCTGATGAGCCACCAGTTCCACGTCCTTAACGGTGCACGACTCGACTGGGGCCGCCGTCCTCACGACCGAAGCCTCCACGTCGACTATCGACTCTCTCGTGATGCTGCCGACAAGGGTGTTTACCGGTCGCCACATTTACTGGTGGTAGGACTTCGAGTCCGCGCGGGTAGGTACCACCGCCCTACCAATTTCTGCCGTGAAGCAGTAATGGGGTAATGAAGTGAAGCAGTGATGAGGGGTGGGGCAGCCGTTGTAACTATAAAGGTGGGTGGCGGCATTTACGTTGTAGTCGCTAGGGGCTCCGGTAACCACTTAACACCAGGTGGGCTGTGAGCTCGTCCACGCATCTAAGCAATAAAAAAACGTGAGAGTGCCATTAACCCCTTCCAAACCAAACCCCCCCCCCCAGTCTGGAAGCATTCTATGTATCAACAAATCAATTTGTTTTTTTTTGGTCTTCAACAGACTTAGATAAAAATCTATGTACATATATAATAAGATAAGATAAAATATTGTAATTTGAACGAATAAGTTTATAAGAATTGTTGTTGTCCAACATGCATATAATATTAAGGTGATTCATTAAAATAAAATACATTTTTATCTACATTAGTGATTTTAATTTATTGCATACTAAAGTCTCCGGTTAAAAGTTTATTATGAGAATATCTATGAATTGCTTTTTGATTGTAGATACTGCGGTGGTCGTGTGGATGTCTTCGTCGTCAAAGCTGACATTCTTGGCGCTAACATTGTCCATCAATTAAAACACAACATTCATCAGACTCACAAGCCGTTTGGAGCCTCTGGGTCTGCGGAGGGACTTCGGTTCCCTCTGTATTTTGTACCGTATGTTCCATGGGGAGTGCTCTGAGGAATTGTTCGAGATGATACCAGCATCTCGTTTTTACCATCGCACCGCCCGCCACCGGAGTAGAGTTCATCCATACTACCTGGAGCCGCTGCGGTCATCCACAGTGCGTTTCCAGAGGTCTTTTTTGCCACGTACCATCCGGCTATGGAATGAGCTCCCCTCCACGGTGTTTCCCTGTCCTTCTTCAAACGAGGCTTGTGGAGAGTATTAAGCGGTAGGCAGCGGCTTGGCTCTGCCCCTGGCATTGCTGAAGTCCATGGGCGACGGTAACCACTCACCATAAGGTGGGCCGTATGCCCGTCTGCCTACAAAGGCAATAAAAAAAAATAAAAAAAAAGCGATAAGTCCAACAGAATTGCTATTACCAATTTCTTCAGCCACGCAGCCATAACAACTTTATTAATTAAAACTACTTCAGATATTTAATCTTGTATTTATTATTACCAGAATCATCCACGACCATGGAGTTTGTAAAGTAATTAACAATAAAATGACAATAAACTACCCAAGATAACACCGCTAAAGTGTTTTAAATTAAGAATTGCTATTGTTGTAATAATCATCACATGTTATGTCTGCAGTTAGGGGTTGCATCAAGCAATAACTAGGATTCAAGTTTCCTGACCAAAAAGGGTTAAATCATCTGGATATAGATAAAGTTTATGCTTATCATAACAATGTATGATCATCGAAACTGAACCAACACATAAAACTTCAGAACCTTACAATAAGAGGAAGCGGTTCCAATATGTATTCCAAGTTTTTTTTTTTTGCTTAGGTAGGTGGACGAGCTCACAGCCCACCTGGTGTTAAGTGGTTACTGGAGCCCATAGACATCCACAATGCGCCACCCACCTTGAGATATAAGTTCTAAGGTCTCAAGCATAGTTACAATAGTTGCCCCACTCTTCAAACCGAAACACATTACTGTTTCACGACAGAAATAGGCAGCGTGGTGGTGCCTGCCCGCGCGGACTCACAAGAGGTCCTACCACCAGTAATTGTGCAAATTATAATTTTGCAGGTTCCATTTTTGTTACACGATGTTATTCCTTCACCGTGGAAGTCAATCGTGATCATTTGTCGAGTACAAACAAACAAGCTTTGGCTCAGGACGCTTCATCAGTTACTGACTTACTTGCCGGTGAATTTGACCATCTGTTTGCTGATCTTCCGTTGCTCATTAACACTAACCAGCAGCTGAACCGTGCTCGAGGTCTGCCTAAGCACAGCAAAGCACTGCTTGCCTTTAGCTCGAGAAGTTTGCAAACGAGCTGCATCAAACAAATATCTTGAGGTTTAAATGAATAAAGATGAAATAAATACAGATTGCCGAGGACAGGTAGACGTGGGGAAACATGGTGGTAGGTACCACCACCCTGCCTATTTCTGCCGTAAAGCAGTAACGCGTTCCGGTTTGAAGGGTGGGGCAGCCGTTGTAACTATACTGAGATCTTAGAACTTATATCTCAAGGTGGGTGGCACATTTACGTTGTAGATGTCTGTGGGCTCCAGTATCCACTTAACACCAGGTGGGCTGTAAGTATGTCCACCCATCTAAGCAATAAAAAAAAAGAAGCATTGTGCATCGAGTGGTCAACATTTCAAATCAGACACAACCTCCAACAATGAAGAGACCAACTCAGAAGAAGAAGATATGAGTTAACTAAATTTTTATCACAAATTAGGGTATTTTGTATACAAGTTACAAGCTATACAATCAATATGTCATATAAGTTGTATCTCTGAGTCATATTTTTAATCTTTATTTATCATGTTATTTTAATCTTTATTTACCAACTTTTGAATATGTTTGTCAAACTAGTTAGTACCATTTTTATTTAACTAACCGACCCGGCAGACTTCCTAGTGCCTCAATCGAGAAATAAAAGACCTAAACTTTTGTATAAAATAAAATAGAAAAAACAAACAAAAGGAATCCGTCCGACGAGGGACACATCAAATTGTTATTTTTATTTAATTCCGAGCATTTTCATATTTATCTTTACCTTTTAAACCTTCTCTGGACTTCCACAAATAATTTAAGACCAAAATTAGTCAAATCGGTCCAGCCGTTCTCGAGTTTTAGCGAGACTAACGAACAGCAATTCATTTTTATATATATAAGATAAAATAAGATAAGTCACATTTTCTTCACAAGCAATTCACCAGATATTTTACAAAAAAAAAAAACACTAGTAGTTACAAAACTTTAAATAGAGGATGTTGATTTCTTATTTAATGGTTCAAATTAAAATTAAAATAACTTGAATCATTTTAGCTTCCCTAGTATTGATTTCTCGGACACCCAGTATAAATAACATATACTTAGAGTTACTTTAAACATACCTCTAACCCAAACGGTTTGACCGTCCATTTTGATACTCAAATTTTCAACATCCGTGTAAACCCTGTCACGATGTTCCCCTGACGATTGGATCATTTTCATATTCCCATAAAGTCCTTCTGAGAAGTCAGGCTCTGATTCTGTTGATGGCTGAGCTGATGAAGCCTGAGAAAATATTGTGGATTAGAATTACAACCAAATTCATGTTAGGAACAAGTGAGCCCCAGGCCTCATCAGATTTGTTACAATAGATATACAATAATTACAATAGGCATTTTATTTTGAAATCATTGTAGTGGAAAACAGCAGCACTGCAGGTCTACAATATCAAGAATGGTTTCTTTATAACAGTTTATAATAAAAATACTGCAGTGTTTTGCATTCTCCCTTATGCTCAGTTTTTGATTAACAGATTTGGTTGTTTCATCAAGGATTTTATTATATATTTATGTACCTATTTATTTAAAAAAACGTATATAAGTATCTATGTCAATAGCTGGTATCCATTACAGAGGGAATTTTAATTTGGGCTGAATGACATTGTGTGATTTGTTCCAAATTATTTATTACTAGCTTTTGCCCGCGATTCCGTCCGCGTGGAATAGTTACTTTGGCATAACGTTAAATTTTACCCCCTACTTCATTTACGTAGAAAGTGAAAATATTTGGAAACATTCTTTATTGGTCTTACCGTGATGTTATATAGCCTATAGCCTTCCTCAATAAATGAGCTATCTAACACTGAAAGAATTTTTCAAATCGGTCCAGTAGTTCCTGAGATTAGCACGTTCAAACAAACAAACTCTTCAGCTTTATCATATTAGTATAGATAAGAATAAATATATTGCAGTGTTTTGCGTAAGCAACTACCTTATGCTCGGCTTTCTTTTGTTGTTTCTCAGCGGATTTGGCAGCTTTTTTGGCTGCCTTCTTACTGGCCGCCGCATCCCCAACAACTATAGATGGATCTTCCGATTTAACCATGATTATATCTGCAAGCAGAAAACGACAGCTTATTCTTGAGGATCACCGTCAACTATCATGAAAATTATTTCAATTGTTTACCTTTGTGATTAGTTTGAAAATATGAACAAAACTTACCGCAAAGTTTACTAGAAAATTAAGATTTTATTTTTTTGTGTACGTACCTATCTAAAAGTATCTTATTAATGTATCTACTGATATCTTTATTATCAATGTATTGTTTTCAATTTTACTTTTGAATCTTGGAGGTTATCAGATGTGATGAAATTTATTGAGAAATTTGTTAGAGTAGAGATTGGAAATCCGAAATCATTTTGTGTGTTATCGATTTTGTCACGAAAAAAAACCCTTTAAGTCGAATTCATGCAGTGGACAATTTTTGACACATGAGTCGACTATTATCAAAGCCGGCAATCTGACTTTTGGACAATGATTGGTAAATCAGAAAAACGAATTATTGACTTTGTATTCCATTGGCAGTCACAAAACTCTTCGGAACGACATCTTAGATAAATAACAGGTTAACTATTAACCTTTATTTAATGCAGGTTTTGAACCGTATTCTTTGAAGGAGACGATTATATTCAAATCAATCTGTATTGACATATCAATAAAAAAAAATTGTCCAAATGCACAGATTGCCACCTTTGATAATAGACGACTCACATGTAACGACGTTGCATCATGTTTCATTGACTGTTTTGTTACGTATGAAAATACTTCATAATTCGTGTATAATAAAAATTCGCAACCTCAATGTAAATCGATTCTTTAATTCTACCAGAATCGATTTAAAGATCGATTATTTTTGGAAAGTTGTACATCCCTCCCTATGCAAAAGGACTTATCAACTAACTGTCAAAAATCAAGAAAAACAGCTGTCTTCATTCAAGCGACATCCACCGCCCGATCCAATTTTTAAATTAGTATGGGGAGTTTTTGGCGGGAATGCGAAAAACAAAGTTCTGTCAATTGTTTTATTTTTAAAATTTAGTGGTTTTAACGGTTCAGGTTTAAGCTGAAACAAAGCTTCTCGAGCACTACCAAAAAGTTCATTGAAGACTCGGCAATTAACCACCACTTCACTGAACCTTTATTTCATCTCATCTCATCTAGATTCATTTAATTTCATCCCAAACGATTACATTCTAAAAAAAAATCAATTTTATCTCATTTCATATCATTATTCACATACCAAAATACGTTTTGGACTAGACTGAAAGCTCATTCAAAGACTATAATGTAATAGTTACTATATACCTAGTGTCTTTTTTTTAAATTAGCTACATAATATTTACTTACTCTTTGACCCAAGATATAAGGATGAGTATCCAGTGGAATCTAGGTATCCATTATGTATTTTTTTAATAGCTGTGCCAAAGCACAATTATCTCAAAAGATAGATTATATTGTTGTGTAAAAACGTACAATGGGTATGAGACACCCCCATTCCTGCGGACCGAATGAAAAGCAGTGGTATCCTCCCGATCCACTAACGGTGCTTTTAGGTACCTCAAGCACCGGTCATCGTTCTCGTCGAACCCGTCGCTTGCGACGAAGGGCTCGGCGAGTACCTAGGTAAATTAACCCACAGACGTAGCCCACTGAATTTCTCGCCGGATCTTCTCAGTGGGTCGCGTTTCCGATCCGGTGGTAGATTCTGCGAAGCACTGCTTTTGCTAGTTTTAGCAATGTCGTCAGGTTTGAACCCCAGGTTACTAGATTATGTATGAAAAAAAGGGTATTAGAATGTTTGGTTACACTTTAGAAATAAATCCTTGTTGGTTCGCGCGAACAATCATTCAAAAGAAAAAACATTAAATTGACTGATATGCGAACGTCACTGTTTGTCAATGTGTCACCTAAATCCGGCAGACATCAGTAAAAAAAAATCGTTTTATGCATAAATTTTCTGTTCAAAATGACAAATATAATTGTTGGCACTGATCGGTTTGGTATAAAAGTATTCTGCGGTCGGCTACGTGGTTACTGAACATAAAATGCCGGTTTTCACCGCCAACATACCGGGATTACTAAAAGTTGGCGACAAAATCGAGATAGGTGGCAAAATCAAGGAGAATGCAAGAAAGTTAGTTTGGTTAACCTAACTGTGTTTTACATTTATTATACAATTTTTTTTTTTTACACATTTATATTCTATTTACAATTTTACAAAACATTATATTAACCATTTACAAATTTACATGGCATCTTAGATGCTTTCATTTACATATAAAGTTAGGTATATATTATATTTATATACTCTTCTACTCAAAACCCTTATCATATCGACGCTTGAAAGGCAAACGTGACTAAGCGACAATGCGTGAACTTTACAGACTAATTTAAAGTTGAAATAAGTACCAAAAAAAAAAAAAAATTAACGAATCTAGCTGTAGTAGAATCTAGCTAATAGCTGTAGGATTGAAATGATTTTAATAGACCTAGAAATATATATTTTTTGCGCATCGAATATGGTTATTGCCTATCATTTATGTACAAAGCAGTTATTGTCGCTTAGTCACATTTGCCTTTCAAGCGTCGATATATTATTTTACCTCTCATTATAATAATTATATTCAAATATTTAAATACCTATGCATCTTGTTAAATTTCGAAGTAGTCAATAACGTCGAAATTTAATAAAAGTATCTATTAGCTTCTTTAAAAAAAAATCTAAGAAACTAAGCTACCTAATTATTATTATTGTTCTGAACGATGCCTTAAGTATTTATTATGATGCTTAAATAAACTATTTCACTCTTAAGCCCCTTTTGCACTAGCGTCTACATCTAAAGCTATATACACGAGATCCGTTTTATTTAAAAAAAAAAATTGCCCTTGTAGGCAGACGAGCATACGGCCCACCTGATGGTGAGTGGTTACCGTCGCCCATGGACCTCAGCAATGCCAGGGGCAGAGCCAAGCCGCTGCCTACCGGAACTGGTCTAACTGGTCCGTACTGGTCTAACACAGGATGTCCGTGAACCTTTGCGCTCAAGAAGGCGAGGAGCCGAGGGATGTGGTTCTCCACTTCGACGTGAGATTCCACCGGGACAACATCATATCGCTGTCCAGGAAGAACGGCATTTGGATCGGAAGCGGAAATTACGACACCAACTACAACATGTTTGTTCCTGGTAATTGTTTTAAACGTATCAAAAGTAGAAGCGTCACTGGCCCATATAGCGACCGTACGCAATAATTACCCTAACGCTTTCCAGTAAACACCCCAAAGTAAGTATAAACGCTTCAAACACTCTAGAACTGTTCCAAGCTGAGAGCTTTGAGAGGCTATTTCAGCGTAACCCTAACGTTTGTAGGTGAGCTCACGGGGCTCAAACCTGATGACGTTGCTAACACGAACCCTAGCAAGAGCAGTGCTCCGTAGAATCTACCACCGGATCGGAAACGCGACCCACTGAGAAGATCCGGCGAGAAACTCAGTGGGCTTTGTCTGAGAGTTAATTTACTCGTCGAGCCCTTCGTCGCAAGCGACGGGTTCGACGAGAACGGTGACCGGTGCTTGAAGTACCTAAAAGCACCGTTAGTGGATCGGGAGGATCCGAGATGACGTGTTTTGGGCGACGTCGACTGCTTTCCATTCTGTCCGCAGGATCGGGAATACAGCTTCTCATCGTTCCTCAAACGCCTACCAAGAGCTCACCCACTATGATATTAAGGAATTTTGAGAGCCGATACCAGTGTGCTTAGTGCGAGCTTTTTAACGTTCTAGATAGCGTAAAAGTTAAGCCAATTTTGTATGCAGTTGGAACAGCGCCCCTAGCGGCAAACGTACGCAAACGATCCCATTCCATACAAATTAGAGTTAACTTTTACGCTATCGAGAACGTTAAAAAGCTCGCACTAAGCACACTGGCCACGACTGGTACATACCCGATCCTATAGACCGAATGGTAAACAGTCGACGTCGCCCAAAGCACGTCATTACGGATCCTCCTGATCCATTAACGGTGCTTTTAGGTATCTCAAGCACCGGTCACCATCCTCGTCGAACCCGTCGCTTGCGAACGAAGGGCTCGACGAGTAAATTAACTCTCAGACACAGCCCACTGAGTTTCTCGCCGGATCTTCTCAGTGGGTCGCGTTTCCGATCCGGTGGTAGATTCTGTGAAGCACTGCTCTTGCTAGGGTCAGTGTTAGCAACGTCGTCGGGTTTGAGCCCCGTGAGCTCACCTACTAGTTAAGGTTACGCTGAAATAGCCTCTCAAGGCTTAGGTAGGACAAAACAAAAAAAACGCTGGTATTATTACTGAGTTACTAAAGTTGTTTTTTCCTCGTCAGGCACGATATTTCGGATAGTCTTCGAAATCAAGGACACGGACGTCATCACGATATACTGCCAGGGGAAGTTTCATTCGAACTTCCTCCCGAAGATACCACTCAACATGGCCAAATACATTGTGGCCTGGGCGGACGTAGAGAGGATCTCGCATTGTTATTTTAATTTCGCGAACAAAGTAAGTAAAGGACTCTTTTTATTATTATTATTAGAGAGAGAGAGAGAGAGAGAGCGAGAGAGAGAGAGAGAGAGAGAGAGAGAGGGTATTCTTTATTCTTATTCTAATTTATTATATTTTTCAATTATTATTTTTTTTTTTTTTTACTTTAGCCATTCATAACTATACCTAGTACTAATTGTGTATTTTCATGTGTATTTATATTTATATATTATTAGTTTACATGTATATTATATTGTGTGTAATTATGTGAATGCATGTATTTTATTATTTTATACATAGGTATATTTAATTGTATATGTTTATTTTTGCATACAAAGTCATATGTAATCTATATAAGTACCTATGTTTAACATTATGTGTATTCTATAATACTAAGATGTTATTTTAAGGAAGATTTTTGTTTAGATTTTGTTCTTTTTTTTGTTTTTTGTCGTTGTTTGTTATTCTTTTGTTAATGCACCTACCATGCATTATCTCTGCACCACCCTATGGTCGACTGGAAGAGAATGCCCATGGCATTAAGTCCGCCTGTGTACAACTTTTGTTTTGTGCATAAAGTATAAATAAAAAATATAGTTACAACGGCTGCCCCACCCTTCAAGCCGAAACGCATTACTGTTTCACTGCCGAAATAGGCAGGGTGGTGGTACCTTACTGCATTTCTAAGTGTGTTTCGCTTGTCCTGTCAGACGGTGAGCGGTGATGAGGCCGGAGCGCCGGGCGCCTTCGCCCCCCAGTCCCCTAGACCGCCACTGGTCGTCGGTGACGTGAAAAGATGGTAAGATTTCTAATAGGTAATAGGTAGGCAGCGGCTTGGCTCTGCCCCTGGCAATGCTGAAGTCCATGGGCGACGGTAACCACTCACCATCAGGTGGGCCGTATGCTCGGAAATAATAGTTTTATTTTTATTTTTTATTGCTTAGATGGGTGACGAGCTCACAGCCCACCTTGTGTTAAGTGGTTACTGGAGCCCATATACATCTACGACGGAAATGCGCCACCCACCTTGAGATATAAGTTCTAAGATCTCAGTATAGTTACAACGGCTGCCCTACCCTTGAGACCGAAACGCATTACTGCTTTACGGCCGAAATAGGCGGGGTGGTGGTAGATACTTAACCGTGCGGACTCACAAGAGGTCCTACCACCAGTCAAAAAAGTAAAAGTAATATTGTTCATTGCAGTCCAAGGGCCAAGAAGACTGCGACAGGTTCGCCAAAAAACCGCTCGTCGAATGAAAGCTCTGACGAGGAGCTTAAAGTTAGAGTTAAAACTGACGGAAGGCCGGACCGGTTCTTCTACGAGACCCTGATGTGTCAGCAGACGGACCACCCGAAGTTCGGGTCTCCGGAGACTTGTAAACAGAGACGCGAGCCAAGTCTGGGGAGGGAGAACTTGAAGAAATACAGAGAGACATCGGATACGGAGAAGAATGAAAGTGATGATTACTCTGAGGAGATAGCTTCGAAGAACATGGATTCTTCTGTCGTGGAGTCCGACGGTGTGCTTCAAGAGCTGGGCATCAAGAGGAGAACGAGGAGGGGGAAGTTTGCGCCGTTCGCTCAGGTCGTCAATTTGATGGGAAAGTCGTCTAAGAGAAATTAGTTGGATTTGTTTGAGCTGTGTTTTTTGTGGGAGCGTCTAATAAACTGTTTGGAAATATTAGTTTTTGTTTTTTTTTCCCTTGAATTTTTGATATCGAGGGGTGAAAGGCTAAATAATTTATGCCACATTTTGCTTAATTATGTTTAACTAGAGGTCCCGCAGTAGTCGAAATTCGACTATAACTAATTGGAATTGTAAGTTTGTACACTATTATGATTGTATTTTATACTTCTATAATCACAAATTTCGCCAAGACTACAATATAAAAAATATTTAATCTATTCTCAATTTGAACATAGACGTCAAGAACAAAAGTTTGACAATAAATAAATAGTGTGCATCCGTGTGTGCGTCAAATACATGGCATGTAGTGTGTGTAATGTTTTCTTTATTGATTTAATGTATCTTTTATGCATTATTTAAAAAAAAGATTAGCATTGTGCACTTCTTCCCTATATTCTCTATAAGTGTGGAAAATTTCACACTCCTCCGTCGGCGCAATTTTCGTAAAAAGGGATACAAAGTTTTTGCTTCACGTATTAATATATAGATTAGATTTAATTTAATCATATAGTAACTTACATATGTTTGCGAGTGTGTGTACGTGCGGTTGTGTGTGTGTGTGTTTGTATGTACCTATACATGGTATTGTGGTATGTATGGTATGCACCTGTTTTGAATTGCAATCCAGATTGTTACGTTAAATATTTAAACTTATAATTTCTATGGTTGTAATTAGTTTTGTGCATCAATAAAAAAAAAATACCCGTCACACTAATTACTGGTGGTAGGACGTCTTGTGAGTCCGCGCGGGTAGGTACCACCACCCTGCCTATTTCTGCCGTGAAACAGTAATGCGTTTCGGTTCGAAGGGCGGGGCAGCCGTTGTACTGTTAAAAGTGAGACCTTAGAACTCATATCTCAAGGTGGGTGGCGGAATTTACGTTGTAGATGTCTATGGGCTCCGTTAACCACTTAACACCAGTCGGGCTGTGAGCTCCACCCACCTATGCAATAAAAAATAATCTGCATTATAATCATTAAAAAATATTAAGTTTTTTTACGCTTCGTTCATGGAATCTTCTTCGTAATCTTGCTTTTTCTCTGTCATTCTCTTTTCCCTTTCCTACCCTCATTCTCTCTCACATCTTAACGATTCGTTGCACACATATTTCATACGTTCCATCCTTACTAATCTATATACATACTAGCTGACCCGGCAAACATTGTTTTGCCATATATAAGATTTCTAGGGATTTTCTGGTGTAGAAAAAAAAAGCTAACTTATTGTAAGTGTGTAAGGATGTGGTAAATGAGCGAAAGAGGTATGTAGTGCTGTGAACGATGAGGGAATATATAATTAAAATAACAAAACCTCATTCAGTCACATAATACCTCATTATAACAAAACAAAAAGTCCAAATAAAAAAAATATGTTAGGGGTGGACAACCCTAATCACTTAGGGGTATGAAAAATAGATAGTAGCCGATTCTCAGGCTTACTGAATATGCATAAAAAATTTCATGAGAATCAGTCAAGCGGTTTCGGAGGAGTATGGGAACGAACATTGTGACACGAGAATTTTATATATTAGATATAAAAATAATTTGCGGTCCGTTAGTCTCGCTTTAGCGAATTTTAACTCGAGAACGGCTGGACCGATTTGGCTAATTTTGGTCTTGAATTATTCGTGGAAGTCCAGAGAAGGTTTAAAAGGTTAACAATTTTGTTTTTCCTTTGATGGGTCCCCCATCAGACGAATTCCTTTTGTTTGTTTTAAGTTTATTTTATACAAGAGTTTAGGTCTTTTATTTATCGATTGAGGCATTACGAAGTCTGCCGGGTCAGCTAGTCACACATATATTTCTATATCAATACAGTGTTAAGCAATCATCACTGTACCTCAGGGCGCGTACAAGAAAAACACAGACCAATTAATTATTGCATTTATTTAATAATACCCATCGTTAAAAAATATTTATAAATACATCATCACATATTTAAGACACGCTATATCTAATATTAGGCTTTATACATATATTTGTATATACAATATTTACAATTTGACTAATCGAAAATAGAAACATCTCTTTGAGACCACAATTCACTAATACGAAGCACACTAAATTCGTTATGTATTCCACTAATGGAGCTTTTAGGTACCTCAAGCACCGGTCACCGTTCTCGTCGAACCCGTCGCTTGCGACGAAGGGCTCGACGAGTAAATTAACCCACAGACACAGCCCTCTGAGTATCTCACCGGATCTTTTCAGTGGGTCGCGTTTCCGATCCGGTGGTAGATTCTGCGAAGCGCTGCTTTTGTTAGGGCCAGTATTATCAACAATCAGGTTTGAGCCCCGTGAGCTCACCTACTCATTAGGGCGAAGCTGAAATAGCCTCAGTCTCAAGGCTATCAGCATAGGTAGGATGAAAAAAAAAGTTGCGTAATATTTGAATATTTTATAATGCCATTTGCTTACGCTTAATAAGTCTGTGGTGTAAAATTTGGCGCGTAATAGAGAAAACTTGTTGTAATATGTCGTCTAGATTCTTATCTTTTTCTGGTATTAGTTTTAGCGAAGTAATATAGTAGTATAGTATAGTAATGTAGTAGGAAATAAACCAATAGTAGGCTACTTGTGGTGAACTTGTTTTTCGTTAGCACGCAATGTATCGCAAACCTGCTCGAGCCACGAAGAATGATGTCCATTGCGTGCTTCGTTTTTTTTTTTTCATACATAATATTAAACGCTAGTATATCAGGAAGGACTAGCTATGAACTACCTTCATTTTTGGAAACGGGCCATAGTAAATTTACAGGACTCTAAGTGTAGGGTAGTTTGTTTTTTTTATGCCCAAAATTCAATGCCAGCTTGGGATTTTGTTTTTTGTTGTTGTTAACACATATGTGTAATGAGGATAAGTCTAGACTGAGAATGCGTGTTACAAATAATGATAAATCAACGGTGTTGTTAGATTTTTTGACGTGATTATGTCTTATAAATCAATGAATATCAGCTGCACGCACGTAAAAGTGTCACGTTCCGCCTGAGCGTGAGCGTGCAAGCGAGACCGCGGAACAAGCGATAGAGAGGCACGATCGGCTCAAGCGTTGTCTTGTGACACATTTATCTCTCTTCTCGCGTGACGTCAGAGCTAGCAGTCCGAATAGTTCTGCTACTGACGTTATCCAGACCACCAAATTTTTTTATAGCAACCTTTCTGCTTTAGGCTCTCGGCTTTCTGCTGCTAATTGTTAAGTCCATAGCTATTGCAATATTAACGCCGCCATCCCTGTCTAGCGCCATAGACAAGCAAGACTGTTCCACGACCGGACAATTCACTTGCGACTACCCTAACTTTTGTTGAAATCACATATGAAATCGGCGTGCTCTTCTCAGATACCGATTTGCGTTAGCTGAGTCTTGGAGGCGAGGAATAAAGATTCCCCGTCCATTCCGTCTGTCTAGCGCCATAGACAAGCAAGACTGTGCCACGACCGGACAAGTCACTTGCAACTACCCTAACTTTTTATGAAATCACATATAAAATCGGCGTGCTCTTCTCTGATACCGATTTGGGTCAATTGAGTCTTTGAGGCGAGGAATAAAGATTCCCCATCCATTTCGTGCTCCTGCAATATCGATATAGTGTCGTTCCATTTGTGTTTCGATAAATGCTCCGATAGTTGGTGTACCTGGAAAAGGTTTTGTTTCATTTTGCGGGTAGTCGAAGAACGTTAGGTACGCCTATCGTTTGCAGGGATAAGACTTTAGGTGTTCTTGGAGTAGGAAGGGTTTTGATGAAGGGAATTAAGAATCGTTGAGGATGTAGCCTAATTGAGGTGTGTAATGAAAGATCTACTGAATCTACCAATTTGCTTTTCTGACGGAAACAAATATACTGAATCCATGCGAAGAGACAGTAATTTTCTCCGATATTTTTTTAATGCTTAGATGGGTGGATGGGCTCACAGCCCACCTGATGATAAGTAGGTACCGGAGCCCATAGAAATCTACAACGAGATGTGAGTTCTAAGGTCTCAGTATAGTTACAACGGCTGCCCCGAAAAAAAAAAACCGAAAAGCGCTTTATGCATATACAACTAAATGCTCATATCATCGCCATCATCATCATTACCAGCCCACAGTTGTCCACTGCTGGGCATAGGCCTCTCCCAATCCACACCACTGAGCCTGGTCTTCGGGTCTCCTCGTCCATCTCCTACCTTCGAAGGTCATCGCACCATCTAGCCAGAGAGCGTCCTACGTTACGTTGTCCGCTTTTTTACGTTAATTTTCATTTTTTTTATTGCCCTTGTAGGCAGACGAGCACACGGCCCACCTGATGGCGAGTGGTTACCGTCGCCCATGGACTTCAGCAATGCCAGGGGCAGAGCCAAGCCGCTGGCTACCGTTTAATACTCTCCACAAGCCTCGTTCGAAGAAGGACATGTCGTAGCGCTCGGGAAACACCGTGGAGGGGAGCTCATTCCATAGCATATATATAAATAATTTACTTTAGGATATTTACCGTCCACGATTTCACTGTGGTCTGTTGGAGGGCTTCGAATGGGTTATCTGAAATACAAAAAAAATAAAAACTTATTTATCATACTGTCAACTACAGTGCCAATGACAAAGCCTATGTGAATAGTCTATGTGAAAAGTCGTCGTGGCCTAACGGATAAGACGTTCGGTGCATTCGTGCTCAACACGAATGTTCGAATCCCGCAGGCGGGTACCAATTTTTCTAATGAAATACGTACTCAACAAATGTTCACGATTGACTTCCACGGTGAAGGAATAACATCGTGTAATAAAAATAAAACCCACAAAATTATAATTTGCGTAATTACTGGTGGTAGGACCTCTTGTGAGTCCGCGCGGGTAGGTACCACCATTGCGCCTATTTCTGCCGTAAAGCAGTAATGCGTTTCGGTTTGAAGGGTGGGGCAGCCGTTGTAACTATACTTGAGACCTTAGAACTTATATCTCAAGGTGGGTGGCGAATTTACGTTGTAGATGTCTATGGGCTCCAGTAACCATTTAACCATCCATCTAAGCAATAAAAAAAAAGAATTCTTTGAGCTTAGCAGCGACAGAAAATGTGGATCCTTGGGCGAAGGACTAGTTAAATGGAAACGGTAAATGTTTGATCGTTTTTAAATCCTGAAGCTGAATGGCTGATAAAGAACACGATGCCGTATGCGGGTAATCATTTTTTTTATGAATCTTTACAGTTCATCCTTTAACTGACCCCAAATGACGTCACACGTAATGAAGTAGCCAAAATACACAGGAGAACAGTACCAATCGTCCCAGTGATCGTAATGTATTTATTTATACAGAGTGCTCAAGCAATAGTCTTTCCCGAAAATGAGGGTAGGAGTGCTAAAAAAAAAACGGTGTAAGACTAAGTGATTGTTTATCTGAGAAACTTTAACACGTTGACTGCGTTATGCGACTTAAAAGCCCCACACGCGACTATTCCCTGGTGCCGCGGTCAAAACTTTTCGCTTGGTGCGTAGTCCACTTTCGTATAAGTATGGGTATATTCTAAAACATTTTTGAGGCATATCAGGTCTCATACGATAAACAAGTCCAATCTTGCCTCGGAAAGACCTCATACGCACTGGCTCAAAATACCTCATTAAGCTACACTCTAAATGTATGTGTTTGTGCTTTTTTATAGCACGCAATGTAATACAAACTGACGTGAGATACCGGCTTGTTACATTGCTGGCTCACGTTTGTACTGACTACCATCTTGTTCTATTTGCATTTGTATTTAAATTAAAAAACACGTGTGGCACTCGGGGACTGCGGCGGTTAAGCTATTGTATAGCATTTTTTATCAACTTATGCAATTATAATTAGACAATAATAATTTAATATTAAAACAATAATAAAATAAGACCACGCTATATTTATAAACATTAACAAAAGCAAAACATTAACTGTCCCCTTCACACTCATAAGCTAGACCGCGCGCGAAAGAGATGGGCAGACTTTTCATGACGCGCATGCAGTGTGACGTCACGCCGCGCGCTTATTCACAAACATTACACAAGCGCAACGTGTGAATGTGTTGAATGCAAGCTACATGGTAGGCAGAGTGGGGGTGTTAGGTTTTATTTTCGTTACGGAATTTCTTGATTCGCTCGCCGCGCTCAAAGTCCGCGATAAAAGCTATGCAATAGCTCTTAACAAAGCATTAATTTTACCTTTTTTCGTTTCTAAATCCTTTTCGTTTTCACCGTCTTCGACAGTTTCTGGTTTCCTGTTCACGTGCATGTGGTAGTACGGCAGCAGCGGAATGTCTCCGGGCACATGATGAACTGGTTCGCTCTTGATTATCGCGATGTTATCGACAAGGCCATTAGGAGCGATCGTGCAAGGGTAGACCTTTCTCTCTTTCAGCGGTTTCCTGATCTAGAATGCGAGACCTTCGCTAGTATAGCAGACGAAAATAAGAAGAGAAACAACAAAAATAAACTGGATCGCTTTTAATGGGACATTCTTCCTATTCGTACACTCTTGACAGAGTGGTCGTGGTCATGCATCAGTCGGATCCTGCGATACCGATGCTCTCGCGATGCGACGCCATGTGGCACGATGTTTCACAAAGTGAGAGCAAACATTTATGTTGGAGTGAGTAACAGATTTTATGAGGTCGGTCCATCGTGTTGGAGATCGTCCGCGAGATCTTTTGCTCTCGACTTTCCCTTGCACCACCAACCGCTCAATGGAGTCCTCATTACGAGGGCATACATCATTAATGGGACATAATCCTAAAGAAATTCGTTTTTAATACGCTTTTATTAGCTTCAGACGTAGGTATGTACGGAATCTTTGAACATGATTTTGACTCCCTTCAAAACGTCGGATTAACTCGAAATTTGGTATACTTATTAAGGACCGATGACAATTCAAAATAAAAAAAATATTAAAAAAATTGAAATTCAACTAAAAAATAGAAAGTTAATTTTAATAAATTTGAATTAAAAATAGTGTAAGAAAAAATGATTTTTTTGATAATTGCAAATGTTCACGATTGACTTCCACGGTGAAGGAATAGCATCGTGTAATAAAAATCAAACCCGCAAAATTATAATTTGCGTAATTACTGGTGGTAGGACCTCTTGTGAGTCCGTGCGGGTAGGTACCACCGCCCTGCCTATTTCTACCGTGAAGCAGTAATACGTTTCGGTTTGAAGGGTAGGGCAGCCGTTGTAACTATACTGAGACCTTAGAACTTATATCTCAAGGTGGGTGGCGCATTTACGTTTTAGATGTCTATGGGCTCCAGTAACCACTTAATACTAGTTGGGCTGTGAGCTCGACCACCCAAGTAAGCAAAAAAAAACGCCATATGGCAACTAATATTGAAGTTCGTCAAGTTTAGACTGATCGCACAAAAGATTTATTTATTTATTCTCTAAACACTACCCTCCTTCGGCTGCAAAACAACTACCCTCTGTTCTTACAACTAGAGGTACTCACCGGGAATGCCATATTGGATTCTTGTATTACGTAGCCATCTAAGACGTGGGTCAATATCCGTTGTCCACTTTCCAATTCACGTTTCATCTCGATCTTGTCCCTGACGAGAGCCTTCACGTCTTTATCCAGCTGAAAGTCCTGGTATTTCTCCCGTTTTATCCTGAATTGCGCGTTGATATCGCCTTCCTCTGTTTTGACTTCAACTTTTTTGATTTCGTCAGTCGCTTCAGAGTTCTTATCGCTGTTCGCAATTACCACTGGTGGCTTGTTCCTTTTCTTCTTAGCTTCGGGTGTTGCCGGTATTTTGAAGTTGTTCTTAGGTGGATCCTCTTCTTTTATCGGAGCTGGGTTCCGTGGGATCTCCTCTAAATTGTCAGGTCTAGATTCTTTCTCGATGACTTGCAGAGGCTCTTTATCGTTCAAAAGTCTGCCTCTCGCTTGCGTGAAGACTGTGTTTCGGATTAGTTTATCGTTTTCCGTTTGATTAGCTAACGCTGTATTGGCGTCTGGTGTTTGGAGTCTGGTATCTTGGGGCGCATTGTCGTTTGGCTTAGCTATTGGAGTGTTTTTATTAAGTACTGCGTTTGGATTTGTTACGTTTTTACTCGGGATACTAACGTTGTTGGGGTGGGAAATCGCTTTTGCGGTCATACTGCTCTGTTTTGTTGGATTTTCGTTTATCGTTGCCGGATTTAAGGCAGTTTTCTTGGGTATATCGTCTGGAGATTCAGCTTTTCTTTTCCTGTTTATTTGCGTGCCCGTAGTTGCAGTCAGTGTTTTAGAAACTGGTACAATTTGGGCTGTGACACTTGATGTCCCGCTGATATTTGGCCGCGTGTTTGGCAAGTGGCTTAGTGGTTGTGTCAGGGCTCCGATGTTGGGTAAGTTGTGTCTATATGGCGTCCTCGGTTGGATTGGTCTGAACGTGAAATTTCCGTTTCGGACATTTGAAATGACTGGATTGATATTGGTTAGGACGTTAGTTGGGGTGTTTTGCGTTGTGTTTGGTGTTGGTCTCGGGCTTTGCGTTATATTGGCCGATGTTGGCGTCATCGTCCTCTGTACATTATTTAGCTGTATTTGTCGTTGTGGCGCATGAGTTTGTATGTATGTTTGACCTATGTGTTGGCTGTTTGGAGTGTTTTGAGGAATCAAAATTTGTTGGCGTATGCTGTGCTGGGGAATCGATGTCCTTACATTCATATACACGGGTCTTTGCATTTCCAATGTCTGGGGTGAGTTAGTTTGATGATTGATTGGCTGGTTGTTTGACACGATCTGTCTGTTGGGAACATGGTTGGGTATTTGATTGTAATTCGTCATCTGTATCTGTTGGTCGTGTTGGATATTGGCACTCATGTTGGGGAAGCCCTGTAGCATGTTAGCCTGGACATTTTGTATTTGTATTGGCCTCGTCTCTTGGGGGTTCTGGGCCAACATTTGTTGTTGTATTTGGTAGGCCTGTTGCGGCATCTGGCAGTTTTGGATGTAAAGGCTTTGGTCCATGCTTTGTTGGATATTGGGCATCATGTTGGACGGCATGTGCTGGACGTACATAACTTGGGTGTGTTGGGCGTTTTTGATCCATGGCGGTGGGTTATGTTGGTTCAAGTAGATTGTTTGGTTTGGTTGTATTTGATCCCCTGGAATACAGATTTTTCACATTTCACATTGTTCAATCAAATATTACTTATCAATGATTGTTGATATTAATATAAATCTCGTTCCAGAAATTGTGTTGCGAGCAAAATGGACTTACTAACAAACCAGTTGTTCCTAAGTCGTTATTGTTGCTCATGGACAACAGCAATGTAAGATACAGTCACACAACTACTAAGGCTTTTCTTTTTTCGAAGCTCCTTCAATTAGATCATTCTACTTTCGTAACGCGACCAAAACACTACGATGAGGATTACCTACTAATGAGGACTACGATGCCATTTACCAGATTATCGAAAGTTGCAAAACATTAATCTAAATGGCGTTTATTATGACAAATTCAAGGTACATTAATAGATATTTTTATTTTGGTCAGGAGGAAATCGCCGGACTTCCGCCCTCCACTGGGGATAGAGGGCGGAGCATGTCAGAGTCGAACTGACTAAAACCTCCTGTCGCTCAACAACCAACGTCCAAACCTCGCATGAGACAGAACTCATGAAGAGGCAAAGGGGGAAAAGTGAAGCGTTTAGTGCGGAGCACATCTCTCCCATCACCCTCCCCCTTACATTAATAGATGTGAGAATTCCTTGTTTTTTTTGTGAATCATACAGTGATATAGTAAATGCAGTAAATGTCAATAAAACTATACCTCAAATCCACTTAGTTAAGGGCGATTTAGAAAGAAACTAAAGTTAAGGGTCGGATTGGGTATTAATAGTATGTAGTATCAACACTTACCGGGTTTCACAAGGATTTGAGTTTCATAAACAACTTGTACCGGACATAAAACCATCTGCTGGGCCATCCCCTGTTGATTCCTGTATAAATATCTTAGTTAATACCAGCACTAATACTCATATCTCCAAATATTACCTAATACCAAATATTAATAATAGATATATTTAGGGTTGTCATCCTTTTCTTTCCTATCTATTCTAGTGGCCTCGAGGGGTCATCTTAGATTCACTGAAAGAATAGGTGAGTTCACGGGGCTCTAACCTGGTGACGTCCAGACGACAAGGTCTAGTGCCCTAGCATGAGCAGTGCTTCGCAGAATCTACCACTGGATCGGAAACGCGACCCACTGAAAAGATCCGGCGAGAAACCGAGTGGGCTGTGTCTGTGGGTTGATTTACTCGTCGAGCTCTTCGTCCAGCGACGAGTTTGACGAGGACGGTGACCGGATTGTCATCAAAAGTGCGTCACAGTGGTAACTGACTTCTGTACCTACATCATATCGAGCAAGATCGAGGGAATTCTGATTAATAGCCTTTGCAGCAGTTCCTTGAGAAATACTCAAAAAATATTGTAATAAATAATCAGATACTAATGTGTTTTATTTTTAAGTAACTAACATACATTATGAGTAATACTAACAAAATGTATGGTTTTGTACTAAAATAAAGATAAAAATTTAAGGAATTGTTGTGTACTTAAGTAACCTCAATATGGGTAATGAGCTAATCTATTAACAATACATTGACACGATCAATGGCCAGGGTCTACGTACTTGTGGCTAGTATTTTCGATACTAGTATATAACAGGTAGTGTTTAGTGACTAGTATTTTAGATATCAGTAACAGGTATTAACTATACTTATATAATATATTCACTCACCCGATCTGGTCTTGGTGACATTGTTGTTGCATCTGTAAAGCGTACGTGACCTGATTAGCGTTTGCGAATTTAGATCTGTGGTTTAAATTTAATTAATTTATTGAGAGCACGACCTCAGCAGCGAACTCTCGCGAACGATAAGAATATAATGATGATATTTTAATTGAATTTCGCTGCATTGAATGTAACAGTAGGAATCAGCTGATTATCGGGTCAACGAACTTTGCGGGACACAAGTTTGCCGGTCAACTACCGCCGCTTAAGTTCACGAAACTTGAACATACATGATATGAATATATATATATATATGCATGTAATGATATGTATTTTTAATACGCTTTTATTAGCTTCAGACTTATGTATGTTTGTAACGGAATCTTTGAACATGATTTTGACCCCCTTCAAAACGTCGGATTAACTCGAAATTTTTTATACTTATTAAGGACCGATGACAATTCAAATTTTTAAAAAAAATTGAAAAAATTGAAATTCAACTAAAAATTAAAAATAAATAATAGTTTAAAAAAAAAACAAAAATTGGTGTGCATGGTCTCAGTAGTTATAAATATTCTATGAACAGATATGAGTAGAAGGGCTATTTTGATAATATCCTGAAAAGCACCCTACGCTTTTTTACAATATACCTAATCATTTTTTCTAACACTATTTTTAATTCAAATTTATTAAAATTTATTTTCATTTTTTAGTTGGATTTTCTAAAAAAGCGTGTTTTGTTAGTTTTTTTAAACTATCATTTATTTACATAACAAAGCAATTAAATAATATAATACTATTTTCAATATATTTGAAAGAAATCTTGAATTCGCAGATTCCAATACCGCACTGTACCCACGGCAAGCGAATCGAAGAGAAATATAAAAAAAAAATCTGTCTAAGGTCCACGCACTGACTCGAATCTACCATATACACAATCACTAACTCTATTCCTCCAATCCACTATGCCATGTCACACACATCGAGAAACTCAAATTCGCAAAAAGAACACATTTAAATTCGAAAAAAGAACACATTTAAAATGAAATGTCAAAGTGATCGGTTGTCAAAAAAAAAAAAAAACCAAAAAAAAATCGCAAAGCATTTTTTTGAATCCATTCAAACTGAATTATTATAAGCCACAGAAACGAAAGACATAAGTCAAAAATCTTTAAAACAAAATCACATCCAATAGCACTGTTTATAAAGACTAATTTTCCTTGAACAACAACAATGGAGAATCGAATTTTTTTTTTGTCACATAAAATTCTTTGCGAAATCTTTTGAAGCGAATATTCAACAAAAGGACCGCCATAAAGCTTCGACGCCACCCCTGCGGACTCAATAAATCAAACGAAACCCGTAATATAAATTGTTAGTGAACGCTTCAAACTAATTTCATCTCTAATTTAATAAAAATAAGTGTGAAAATTCCTTGATTTTGCTGTCAACCATTTAAGAGACAGTAAATGCAGTAAATGCGAAGAAAAATATACCTTATATACATTCAAGTAAGGGTGATTACGATAGTAAATAAAGTTAGGAACCGGATTAGTGTAATAATACGCACAGGCAGACATTTTTGTTTTTGTTTTTTTTTTTTGTTGCTTGGAGATGCACTATATATCGATGCATTAAAATTAAATTATTATTTTTTCGAAATTAGTAATTATGACAATGAAAATTTCTGTAATGGAGGAAAGTCGATTCACCTAGTAATCTATAATGATTACTGGAGACTATAATTATTATTTTCATCAACATCATCATCATCATCGGCCCCCAGTTGCTCACTGCTTGATATAAAACTTTTCCAATTCACGCCACTGAACCCAGTCTTCAGCCCTACTTATATCCGGAGACCATGGACATCACCATTTTTTTTTAATTTGAGACATTCTGTAATGCATTAACTACGAACCGTTTTAACTTTGATTCTTGCTTGAGAGGAACTGCCCACGATTTAAGAAGAAGACAAAGTAAGAATTTAATTTCTCGTCAATCAAATCAAAGACCTCTTTTATCTATCTGTCTTATATATCCTTCGGACCACAGACGTCTACTGCTGGACATTTGCCTCCCAATACTCGCCACAACGACTGGCTCTACGCTGTCTGCATCCAGAAGATACCCACGACATTCAATAGGTCTTCGGCCACAGATCAGGTCAGCTTTTACCAGCATTCAACCAAACTGTCATTATCCCGTTTTAAATAGTCGAATAGACGATGTTTAAATATCTCAGTTACAATGTCCTCACTGCATAAAAGTTCTGGTTTGAATGAGACGTGCACCAGAGTTAGATTTCAGCCTTCTAAAAATTTTCCGGCAGATGATGACAATTGAAACTAAATGACCTTAAAATGTGCAGCATGAAATTAGTTGAAAATTGAAACCTCGAAATTGGAATCCGCATCGGCATCTTAATACCTATCTCTAAAGATAATAGAGGAACATATTATGTACATATTATTATATACTTTGTTATATGGTCATTGTAGACACACAGCCCACAGTCGCTTATGGAAGTCAGCAATGACAGGGACATTGCCTACCATTGAGTAGTCTACGCCAACCTCGTTTGAAAAACATGTCCTAGACCTCGGGAAGTGAATAGTCTTTGCTTATAATCGACACTATTTTGACATTATTAATGACATAGGCGATGGTTACATTTAAGTGTTACTAGCCTACCAGTTTTCTAGAAAAATGAAGAATAACTGCGTTTTTGTACACAAAATATTAACCAAATGATTTAACAATTTAAATTATAATAAATAATAATGCTTTCAAAAAGTATCGACTATCGATACCCGATGATCTATTAAAGCACAGCACTAAGTTAAATATAGGGCGCTGCGGGGGAATGTCGGACCCCACCGCGATCCATTCTTAAGTGCAAGCGAGACAAATATACACAACGGCCATATTGTTAGAAAGAGGCAAAACATCTCCACTATTATAGACATTTATTTTAGTAATAAGAAATAAGAATCATGGCTGTAATAGTCGACATGAAGAAGGGCACCCCTTTTCTTGGGGGGAGGAAGGGGATATTTAGGGTTGAAGTTGCACACAAGTCAAGCGGATAATTAGTCACTTAACCTGTCATTAAATGGCGGTCGTAACTTATGTCTTCAGTTACGTGTAAAAAATATGGCGACACGAGAATTAGATTTCGTACAAACACGTAAACACTCAATAGCTCAGACAAAAATAAAATATGTTTAAAACTAAAAAATAATAAATAGATAGTAACAGAAAAAACATCGGATTGCGTTAATAGCAGCGGAAATGACAACCAAATGGAAACGTTGGTCGAATTCGAAATTCGAATATACGTGACGTCACAGCACGATCCAACTCTTTAAGTCGTTTCAGTGTAACAGCGCCATTAGACTCAAATCAGCTGTTCCCACAGCACGCCGGCATTAAACCACATTAATCCACGAAGTATAACGAATATAAAACAGTCAAACGTCTTACCATAACGTTGTCGTGTACGCGAACGTCAAAAAAACTCGAGAATCACATCGGAACTTGTCCACACGGGCAGCCAAAGACGCCTTTCGATTCACAATGGCCGAACGAATAGCACAAAAGAGACGACGTATTTCGACCGCCCTTCTACCACTGAACCTAAAACGGGACTCGCGATCGCTTCGTTCCAACACAAACACGCCGCAGACGTATCGATTTTGCGTGATTTTAACGCGCTTGGTACAAGCCACGACCAACCAATAGTGTGTGAGTGGATAACAACGCAGCGCATTGGACGGGACGCGTTTCGAAATTCAAACACGTTCTATGACCCCGTTATCCTCGAGCTAGACGAGCGCTCGCGATAAACCGCCAAACCTCTCGCTCTGCCGTCGCACGAAATCTCATTGGCAAGAAAGAGACAGATTTTAGAACACTTTTCAAACTCGTAAACGAAATCTGTACAGGAAGTGTGGTTATTAATAACTTGTAAACAATAATGTGCTTTGATTGAAAGCGTTAGAGGATATATTTGTGTGTTTGTTGTTTTTAACATGATGTCATTCGATCGCAAACAACTATGGCTTACATTTACGATTAAAATTCAATTTGGGCCTATTTTTGTTGTTGTTTATCACTGCATATGTCAACCTTTGCGTCTTCATATAGAATATTTTATGTAAATTTTGAATGATAAGGATATATTATTTTGTTGTTTGATAATGTTTTAGTGTTTTCATAATCTGTTTTTGTCGTTGTCCGTCGGATAATCTATGTTTCTACTTAATCGATGTAAAAAATTTATTTAAGTTTTAAGAATTCAATTTTAATGTAACATTATGGTTATGTTTGGAGATTTTTGCGTTAAATGCCCTTTTAATTGGTGACGAATGAACAAAAAAGCGATTTCGTATTTTTGATATTAGTTTATGAATCAACTTAAGTTTGTGATAGTTTGAAAAGAGTTTTGTTTGAGCAATAATATCGCCAGCGTCGAGCTTGTTATAATCTTCCGTTATAAAAAGCATACATTTTATTAGGGACGTCTTAAACTAGGCTGGGGCCCTTGGGCACACAAGAATTTGAGGGCCTTTTGGAAAGTAAAAAAAGCGAATTATAATAAAAAAAAATTACTGAGTTTGAGACCATATTTATTATAAGAAATCAAATACAGTATGATATAATATGTCATTAATTATATTAGAATGCTGCTGGTTTTTTGGTTACGATTTCGATAACGGTTTCTTTCGGGATGTCTGTTGAGCAAAATCTTCTATTATAGACATAGTATATACCTTGTAAATACCTTCTGATTACTGATTTGTGAAAAAAGTGTAATGTGCCCGACAAAAATGTTTTGAGTATAAGCGTGTGAGAGAAATTGTCGGTCTTTCGGGGCCCCCTGAGAATGGAGGCCCTGGGCACGGGCCTCGTGTGCCCTTTTGGTAAAGACGGTATTGCATTTTATGTGAAATGAAAAATGAAATGGTGCAAAATGTGATGGAGTTAATTAATTAAAAACTGTACTTAATCGTAATATAAATTCGGTTGAAAATAAATGAAGCGAGATAAGATGGATTGGAATAAAGTCTCAGTAAAATGGTAGTTGCTTACTGAGAGTTCAATGAACTTTTTGGAGGAACCTGAGTTTTTTTTTTATTGCTTAGATGGGTGGACGAGCTCACAGCCCACCTGGTGTAAAGTGGTTACTGGAGCCCATGGACATCTAGAACGTAAATGCGCCACACACCTTGAGATATAAGTTCTAAGATCTCAGTATAGTTACAGTTTGGTGGCTTTTTGTCATTTCTATTCATTTTTTACACCTGTGCACTTTCACAGACGCTAAACATTTAATTAACTACTCTGAATACGCATTTAAATCTGCAGAAATACTAATTTAACAAATTGAAAAATTCAAACAACTTCGCTTCGGGTGTTCCCGCCAAAAATCTCTTTTTTTTTTTACTGTTACCTCACTACCAGTAACTTATTCTGGGGCTATTCTGGTTTCACCCTAACTGGCGAGCGAATCCTCGGGGTTCAGCCTGGCCCTAGCAAGAGCAGTGCTTTGCTCAATCTACCATGGGATCGGTATAGCGACCCGCTGACAAGATCCGGCGAAAAACACAGCGGGCTGTGAAGGTCTCCAAAATAAATGAAAAAAAAAAAAAAAATTGGTACTGTATTAATTTGATGTCAAAATTCCGGTACGGACTTTTTGGCGGGAACGCGAGGAGTGAAGTTGTGTGATTTGTTTTATTTTGTCTATTTAGTGTTTCTTCAGGTTTAAATGTGTAATAACAGTGGTTTATTAACTGTTTAATATCCTGTGAAAGTGCACAAATGCGGGAAAATGAAACAAAGCCGCTGGACGTTACTTTTCGGGATCCTCCAAAAAGTCCACTGAAAGAATCTTATTAAATGACCACCATTTTACTGAGATTATATTTCATCCCATTCATCTCATTTCATTTAATTTTATCCCAGTCGATTAATGTCTCAAATTAATCATCTTCATTTCATTTCACTCCATAATATCATTTTTCATTTAAATATGAATATAAATTTAAATAAGACATGACTTAAAGGTCTTAGCTACCAGGTCATAAAACCCCTTAAAAAAATTCCGGTACAATAAAAAAAAAACTTTAAATCTTTCAAAATAAGCAAAACCATTTGTGATGTTTGAAAGGTTGTGGAAATAAAACGCATCGAAAAAGAAAAAAAAATCTCAATACATATTTTTGGCGCCATTTTCCTGTAGTCATTTGAAGTGATACCTACTATATGACTAGTCATTTTTAATACGCTTTTATTAGCTTCATACGTATATTAGTATGTGCCTATATGTATGATTGTGTTTTTTTAAGCAATTATAAATTTGGCACTAAGGCTGACACATAATTAATTATTACACATGAAAAAAAAAAAAATTCTTTAGTTCTGGTAAATATTAAAATCGGCTATATTATTTTAAATCTCCAAGGAAATAAACTGATTAAATCATTTTGATTGTTAATTTTACGAAGAGTGCCAAAATTATTATAATAATTCATAAATAATGAATGAATTGAATTTCTTGAACTATCAATTAAGCAGAAAAATATTAAGTATAGAATTAATTACCTACATTGGGCAAACTTGATGGGTAGCCGTTGTAACTATACTGAGACCTTAGAACTTATATCTCAAGGTGGGTGGCGCATTTACATTGTAGATGTCTATGGGCTCCAGTAACCACTTAATACCAGGTGGGCTGTGAGCTCGTCCATCCATCTAAGCAATAAAATATATATATATATATATATATAAGAAGAAATAAAATTTCACTTTCAAAATTTTGCCGCCCTAAAAATTTTGCCGTCCTGGGCACTTACCCCGACTGCCCTTAGTGTAAATCCACCATTGCCTATTGGAGTCCGTTGGACGGGTTGACTTTTCGAAAGCTCGTCGGAGCCTCGTTTATCGGACCTTTAAGCCACATGAGGCAGCTTCAGGAAAGCCCGGGCGAAGGTCCGAAAAGCATCAACCGCGATAGACTATAGCTAATCTAGGTATACTAATATACTAAAGCGGTTTTTACGGATGTTCCGTTATAACTACTGAACCGTGCATCCGATTGACTTAAAACTTGGTATCCATGTAGAAAATACATGTAGGTACTTAATGGATAGGCTAATATTTATATGAGTGTTGGACTCCCTACATCAGTTGCGGGGGCGTTAATGATGAGAATCTTTGTGGGGGTGAGAAATGATAATGTTAATTTTAAATGCCCAGCGAAGCGGACGAGTACGGCTATCACATATAAAGCTTGCCTATTTGATTTCGATCAAACGATCCAATTTCTTCATAGTGGAAGTGGACGTGAATTAAGTATTTGGATTCTGATCTCCATCCTGAAGGTTTCTGGGGACGGTGAGATAATTCAACATCACCACCGTATTCTATATGACGGTTGCCGTCTTTTTGTTTATATGTGCCATCTTTTTTTTTATTGCTTAGATGTGTGGACGAGCTCACAGCCCACCTGGTGTTAAGTGATTACTGGAGCCCATAGACATCAAAACCCAAAATTCCGCCACCCCACCTTGAGATATGAGTTCTAAGATCTCAGAATATTTACAACGGCTGCCCCACCCTTCAAACTGAAACGCATTACTGCTTCACGACATAAATAGGCGGGGTGGTCTCGTGGGGATTTTTTTTCAAATTTTAAATGACTCCTGTAATGATGCATAAATTTCTTTTAAACCAAATAATAGCTTTTCATCCCTCGATTTTCTACCCTCAATATGTATCGTTTTAATATCGGAAGAAGCTCGTCCCGTGGGCCTTTATCTTGAGGCTAAGATACCCCTTACCGCATCACACACCAATGCGTCTTAAGCAATGTATCGGTCTTAAGTAACAGACGGTAGTATTTTCAGATTTTGATTCGGTTTTCGCGCGACGCGGACACAAAACGGCCGTCTGGTGTAGTGGTAAGTGACATGGTCACTACACAAGGGGGTCGCGGGTTCGAATCCCGCCAACGGAAGGTATTTGTATGATAAATATAAATGTCTTTTCTAGGGTTATGGATGTATCTTAAATATATGTATGTGTATAATAAAAATCTTACATTTATTTCCGTTATCTGGCACCTGTAACACAAGTTCTTTACGAACTTATCACGGGACCAGTTAACGTGGCGTGATTGTTAGTAAATATTTATTGTTATTTATTTATTTAATTAAAACTACTCTGACATCTTGGATCTCGTGTATTGTCATTATCATTGTACCCGTAAGTATTATTGCCGATCGATGAGAAATTTGCGGCCACGTAAAACTTCAAAGTATTCTAATTAGCGTAAACAATAAAGAGATAGTTAATAATAATTGAAAAAAAAAACCATTAGATTAAACCGGGAAGTTAAATTGGTGTCTTATTAAAGTTATTGTAGTTTTTTTTTTATATAGGTAGGTTTTTTTTTTTTTTATTGCTTTCGATAGGCAGACGAGCTTACGGCTCATCTGATGGGAAATGATAACCGTCGCCCATAGACATCCAAACTACATCAGTGACTCAGATGCGCTGCCTATCCTGGCCTGGATGGGCAGCCTTATGTATGTTACACCGGCTATCCTGTCCTTCAGACCGGAACACAGTATAACTGTTTTGCGGCAGAAATAGACAGGACGGTGGTACCAACCCGGGCGGGCTTCTATACAGAACTCTACCACCAGTGAAATATATATAAACCTTGTATTAATGAGGGCATCATGTTATTTCGGATCCTCCCGATCCACTAACGGTGCTTTTAGGTACCTCAAGCACCGGTCATCGTTCTCGTCGAACCCGTCGCTTGCGACGAAGGGCTCGACGAGTAAATTAACCCTCAGACACAGCCCACTGAGTTTCTCGCCGGATCTTCGCAGTGGCGATTCCGATCCGGTGGTAGATTCAGCGAAGCACTGCTCTTGCTAGGGCCAGTGTTAGCAAATTCTTCTTGGCCGTGTGTTTCGCCTACACGTTCGGGGAAGCTTTTTTTTTTATTTTTATTTTTTTCGGGCCGGGGGCCGAACCTCCTACGAGGTCCCCGCGTCTAGGGGGCGCGCGGCGTATGTGGGACTCAACGATCTGCAAGGTGTTGGGAGCAGACCGCGGGCCCAAGGAATTTTAGGGCCCTACTGCACTAAACGACTCCCCTGCACTCTTACACCTGACGTCCCATCTCCGTCCGGGGTCAAAACCCGGTCAGAGTAGGGGGGTTCCCGCGGTCAACACTACAATCAGACTCGCGGCGCCACCCCGAGGACGCCCGACCGACGGGTCGTCGAGGCGATAGTCGACAACCAGCGACGTCGGTCTCCGCGGTACGGCAGCCCTACCAGGCCGCCCGGGCGATGCCGCTGGTGTTCCGGGATACACCGCCGACCGGGTTGCTCTTCCACAGTATGTTCGGCGACGACAGCGACGACGCAGCTAGCTTAACCCCTAGAACCTCCTGGCAAGGGGTAGGCAAAAGAAAAAAACCACGAAACCTAAAGTATTCAAAACGTAAAACTTATACCTAATTTTATTTATCGTGAGACCGTCATTAGGATGCTCCGCGCGTTCGTTTTGTTTGGTTTTTGGTTAGTGTTTATGCCAAAATCACATCTGAATCTTTAGCGATAAGGCATGCTAAGTTGAAATCGTAAGAAATGGAACAGCCGGAGCGTGGATAGGCTTTCCACGTGGACCGACGGTCGACTGAAGGCTTCTAAAAATAAATAATAGATTAAAAAAACTTACAAAGTATGCTTTTATACAAAATCCAACTAAAAACTAGAAAAAGCGTGAGGTGCAGGGTAGATATCAGTAGTTATAAATATTTTATGAACAGATATAAGTAGAAGGGTTATTTTGATAATATCCTGAAAAGCACCTCCCGCTTTTTTTTTACAATAAAATCTTTTTTTCTTACACTGTTTTTAATTCAAATTAATTAAAATTTTAATGTATTTTTCATTTTTTAGTTGAATTTCAATTTTTACAATTATTTTTTTAAATATTGTATTGTCGTCGGTTCTTAATAATTATACCAAATTTCGAGTTAACCCGACGTTTTGAAGGGGGTCAAAATCATGTTCAAAGATTCCGTTACAAACATACATACGTCTGAAGCTAATAAAAGCGTATTAATAATGTATGGTCGTATCTAGCGAATCCCGCAGACGGATACCAATTATTCTAATGAAATACGATGGGTGGACGAGCTCACAGCCCACCTGGTATTAAGTGGTTACTGGAGCCCATAGACATCTACAACGTAAATGCGCCACCCATCTTGAGATATAAGTTGTAAGGTCTCAGTATAGTTACAACGGCTACCCCACCCTTCAAACCAAAACGCATTACTGCTTCCCGGCAGAAATAGGCGGGGCGGTGGTACCTACCCGCGCGGACTCACAAGAGGTCCTACCACCAGTAATTACACAAATTATAATTTTGCAGGTTTCATTTTTATTGCACGATGTTATTCCTTCACCGTGGAAGTCAATCGTGAACATTTGTTGAGTACGTATTTCATTAGAAAAGTTGGTACCAGCCTGCGGGATTCGAACACCGGTGCATCGCTTCAACACGAATGCACCGGACGTCTGATCTTTTAGGCCACGACGACTTCAAATGTTGTGTGTGTGTTGATGTCTATGGGCTCCAGTAACCACTTAACACCAGGTGGGCTGTGAGCTCGTCCACCCATATAAGGAACCAGCTTTAGCCCGCGACTTTGTCCGCGTGGAATAGTTAGTTTGGCATAATGCTAAATTTTACCCGCCTCTTAATTTACGTAGTATATCATCTTTATAAAAACACCTTCACAAATAATGCTTTAGTTTAGAACAAATTTGGTTAGCATAAAAAACGTTATAGTAAGCCAACCTTAACATATAGACATATGCTGTCGCGGACTTTTTTTAGATCTTTTAAAGGGGAACAATTCTCTTATACATTATTTCAGAGAAACTTTAACCGTTTCCGCAGCGCACGCAGCGGAAGCTCTCAAAATGGAAAAAAAAACCGATTTTGAAACATTCTTTATTGGTGCTCCGTTTGCATTGGCTTTAGCGTGATATTATATAGCCTATAGCCTTCCTCGATAAACGGGCTATCTAACACTGAAAGAATTTTTCAAATCGGACCAGTAGTTCCTGAGATTGGCGCATTCAAACAAACTCTTCAGCTTTATTAGGATAGATGAAAAAAAAGATTGAGAAACTCCTGGTAGATGATGCCTTCCCAAACTTCACAGCGGATGGCACAACTGCTCTACCGCCCAGAAATACCTAGACGGTATTGTGATGATATAATATAGGTACGATGTTAAAATGCGTTGTTGTTTATGATTTAAATTCTCAAATTGACTCCTAATGTTCCTATAATGAAACATGCGTCAGTTTATATAATGATATCCATCAATGATTGTTGACAATGGAAACGCGAGAAGATAAAGAAAATAAGTTCCTCATAGATGCACATTATTGTACACACATATTTGGACCGTTTATTTTGAAAGTGGTGTAAGTCCATTTTCTTTTGTTTCATATTTGGTGATTTAAAAATACAGGCAAATCATATGAGGCCTGGCTATGCCACCTACCTCTGTCAATTGGACTTACACCACTTTTATAATCGATTATTATGCAATTTCATTTACCGACCGATTTGAAGTTGTACAAAACATGGGATTTTATTGGGAAATTAAACACGGACTAGTTATATATAAAAAATTTACATTAAATTAAGCATGAATTACGTGACAGTTCATTTTTCTCAAAAATGGACTTACACCACTTTCAAAATAAACGGTCCATTTCATGTATTTTTTGTTTATTCTTATTTTAATTGGAAATAAAACGAGTTTTTTATTTTTTTATAAATGAAATCATATAATTTATTAACATATAAAATCTTTTGCAGTCAAGGCATTTAAATAATTGTATTAAAAAAAAAGAAAAATGCTTTAAATATTATTATCCTAATCGTGAGCCTTAGGTTTCATTTTTGGCGGTTTAATAATATTCCCTATGCTTTTCCTTCTCATCAGCATGGACTTCTTTTTGGCGGGAGTTTGCGCGTCTTTGGACGATTTTGTTTTTTTTCTTTTCGGCGCGTCCGCGGCCTCTCCGGCCGCCATTTTGTCTTTCGACGATTTTTTCGTGTTCGCTTTCGTGATTTTCAATTGATTCTCATCTGTCTTCTTGCTTCTCGGTTTCACAATTTTCTCTTTGGGAAGAACCGGCTTCTGTTTGTTATCCTCGGGGATCGGTTTATTTTTTTCTGTTTCTTTTTTCTTTTTATTGGCGTTCTTTTTTTCTTTCACTGCTTTTTCGTTTTCATTCTGCATTAGTGGGGTCTGCTTCTTCTTTTCTTTGATGGGAGCCAGTTTGAACGAGCCAGTGGCTCCAACGCCTTTCGTCTGTACGATAGCGCCGTCAATTACGCCGTTCTTAATTTGCTTCTTAATTAGATAATTAATTTTGTCGGCGTCAACTCTGTATTTTTCGGTGATGTATTTCTTGATGGCGTATAATGAAACGCCTTTTCTGGTCTTCAGTTCGCCGAGAGCCTCGTGAATCATGTCTTTTGTTCTTTTCTTCTCGATCAAGACTTCGGCGGTTTGGATGGTTTGTTTTTTCTTCATTGCTGTCGCTTTAGGCAAAGGCGTTTCAGATTCAGCGTCCGATTCGTCAGACTCCATTACGATTTTGTGAAAGTTTTTTCGCTACGGTAGCCGCTAAGTAAGCGCGTTTGGTTACTTTAAAGAGATCATTGCGTGCGGAGTACCCTCATTCCGAAGATATTAGTCTGATGGCGGGTAGGTCTAGAAGTTGTTTTGAAACACCAAGTTGAAACTATTGGTCGCCCAGTAATCGACATTTGACTATAATTATGATTGAAATTATAAGTTAGAAAATTATTATGGTTCTATTGTTAAAGACTATTAGGGGAAGTCCGGGCATAGTGGATAGGCCAGGCAAAGTGAATAAGCTTTATTTTTCGTCAACAAAATGTCGGAACACGCGCACCTTGGGCCATTACATTCCCCCGCCCGTCTGCATTCGCGGTCAAACAGAGCTAGCGGAAGGTTGGGTCGCGATCGAGAGAAAAATCGAAAAAACCAAATAGTGAAGTTTTCTTATTACTTTTCAAGGTACGTAATACTTTAATAACTCATATAAAAGTTAACCATATTGTTTAGTTCGATTATGTCCTTTAAATGCATATTTTCAAGTATAAATTCTGAGAGTTCTGTTACTTTGTCGTCACTTCATTTGGTTTTAGGTTAGGTTAAATGAAATGAATAGGTGTAAGGCAAAGTGATCACGGGCAAAGTGGATACGGTATTCGCTTTGCCCTCAATGACTTTACTGGGTATTAATTTTTTTGTTTTTGTTTTAGATGGTATATAAATACAAGAATAAATATCAACTAAGCCCATTAGAGTGAGGGCAGTATGATGCTTGCGATAGCAGATTGTAATTCTGTCATTCCAGTGAAAACGACCGCAAAAAAGTATGGTCTACCTGACGCCACCCTTTATAGGCATTGGAAAAAGGTAGTTCGACTGCTCAACTTGGTCGTCTTCGTAAAGTTTTAAACGATGAACAAGAGGGAGACCTTCGAACGTATTTATATGATATAGTGTATGATAGTATTTTTTATAGGTTGACCCGAGAAGAATTAAAAAATATTAGGTTTTGAATACGCGAAACGCAATGATGTTACTTGTCCGCCTAGTTGGGACAAAAATAAATAAGCTGGTGATGATTGGCTAGCAGGATTTATGAGAAGAAATCCACAAATTAAACTATGAATTCCATGAGGAACAGTTGGCAGAGTTACAGGCTTTTATCGTCCTCAAGCAGAAAGGTTCTATAAACCGTCAAGTGAACAAATTGAGAAGTGTCAAATCGATGGTACCAGAATCTATAATATAGATGAAACTGGCACTTAGGCCTCGACAAATAAACCACCCAAGGTTCAGTTAAAGGTAAGAAGCAGGTTGGAGTCATTTCCAGCACTGAACGTGGACAAACTACGACAGTGCTTCTGGATCATTCGTTCCGATGCCACACGTTTCTGTGGGTACACGTAAAAAAAGGTTCAAAAATCTAAGGTGTTAACAAGTACGACAGTGAAGCGAGAACAAAAAGAAAAATTAAAAAGCAATGAAAATTATGAAAATAGATTTAAATGCTAAACCAAAGACTGCGACAAAAAAAAAATTAAAACGACGAAAAATATAATTGTAAGAGTCACGATAAATGCACAGCTTATGAAGAAATATGCTTATTTCTTTGTGTTAACTTTGTTCAGTATTTGTGTTCACTTTGCCCTATAGTCCTATCCACTTTACCCGACCTATAGGGCAAAGTGGATACTGGTATATGTTGCAACATTATTGACAATTAAAATTAAAGAACTGCTATTAAGCAATTTTTGTTGATTATATTACAAACTTTAATAAATGTTGATACTCATTGAACATTTGTTTTATTTATATACCTATTGGTTTTCTTCCTATAGCCCATCAAACGTTAAGGTGTCCACTTTGCCCGGACTTCCCCTATGCTTCTATTATATAATCATAGATTTAGTCAAGATTACACTATAGACAAATAATATTAAAGATCACAGACTTACAATAAACAAAAGAGAATAATTATGTGCTTGTGTTATCTTTTTATTATTAATTTAATGTATTTTTATGCAAACCTAATTATTTTTATTATAATTGATTTCTGGAAAACATATTTAATTTTGTTAGTGACCGTGTAATATGTATAAAAAATATGGATTCGTAAATAAAATGGAAAAAAGGAACAGTAGGTAATAAGTCTAAATAGGGGCGCTAAAAATGTATGGTGCCACGGACGCCAGTTAAGATCGCTACGCCACTTCATCTACAATCACCTCAGCATCGCCTCTGGTTGTCCAGACAATGCCTCAGACATTAACTCCGTCAATTCTTACAAATACATAAAGTGTATGCAAATAAACAAACCCTCAAACACATAGATTTATTTTATTTATGTGTGTAATTGTGTATATAGTCTGATATATTATGTATTAGTGTTTTTTATTTTTATTATTGTAAATTTTTTTTTATTGCGTAGGTGGGTGGACGAGCTCACAGCCCAACTGATGTTAAGTGGTTACTGGAGCCCATAGACATCTACAACGTAAATGCGCCACCCACCTTGAGATATAAGTTGTAAGGTCTCAGTATAGTTACAACGGCTGCCCCACCCTTCAAACCGAAACGCATTACTGCTTCACGGCAGAAATAGGCAGGGCGGTGGTACCTACCCGCGCGAACTCACAAGAAGTCCTACCACCAGTAATTACGCAAATTATAATTTTGCGGGTTTCACTTTTATTACACGATGTTATTCCTTCACCGTGGAAGTCAATCGTGAACATTTGTTAATTACGTATTTCATTAGATAAAATTGGTACCCGCCTGCGGGATTCGAACACCGGTGCATCGCTACATACGAATGCACCGGACGTCTTATCCTTTAGGCCACGACGACTTCAATTGTGTATTGTATCAATAAGTAAATTATTTAAAATTAATTAGATTGTACTCTTCTACCCACTCATGTAAAGCTTTCCTTCTTTAAGAACGGTTAACTGGTAGATAACTCAATTGTTGAGTTGAGCTCGCCATTTTGTATATCTTATCGCAATTACTCTATTATATTAACTGTCTGTACAATAAAGAATAAATTGTAGGTATGTGAATAAACAAACCTTTTTTTTGTTGTTTTTGTTTTAATCAATATTAGTTTTCTTGTTGTTAATACTGTTTGTCGTGTCCATGACACTGTCATTGACATCCTAGTCGGTGCACGCGACCGGATCTATACCAATCTATTTTATTTATTTTATTATTATTTGTGGTCATAGTTTAACAAAGATTAATAAGCTAATATTAATAAATGTATCACTATGTCCTGCTAGTAAAGCGTACAAATATTAGGTGTAAGTATAATCTACATAAAAATAAAAAATAAAACTTAAATTATTCTACTTTATCATCTAAAGTTATCGTCTAAATATTCTGACATACTATAGTAAGCCTTATCTATTAAAACTATTTGCAATTTTTGCTTAAAATCTCGTGAATCTACTGTCTTCAAAATGTTTATAGGTAGTTTATTAAATATTCTTGATGACATACTAAAAAAACTCTTGTCATAAAGGGCAGTTCTATGAGGTATTCTATACGGATCGCCGGCGACATGCAAAACAATCTTTATGTCAATTAGTTATTAGGTTATCTTTTCAATGTGAGTCGACGTCACCCGTCCTTATCGGCGAAATATCAGCATATCGACTGCCCCACCCTCCGAAATGGAAGGCATTCTTGATAAGCGAATAAAAATTTAAGAAGGATGCTGGTTCCAGGTCGCGTTGGGACTACAATCCACCTTACAATTAGTGAATCCTATGATGTTTATCTACGCGATCACAGACTCAATTGAACAATAGGTAGGTACATATTTTAATTTAATAAAAATTTCAATATGTCATTTTTTACTGGTGGTAAGACCTCTTGTGAGTCCGCGCGGGTAGGTACCACCACTCTGCCTATTTCTGCCGTGAAGCAGTAATGCGTTTCGGTTTGAAGGGCGGGGCAGCCGTTGTAACTATACTGAGGGCTTAGAACATATCGCTGTAAGCTCGTACATCCATATAAGCAATAAAAAATTAAAAAATAAAAATCTGTACGTTAATGGAGCATTTTATTTTAATACAATAATGCACTATTAATAAATACCCTTCGCTGTAATATTTAGATGTAAAATTAATGACGTTACACTGACGTCAGGACGAATTGGGAATTTTTTAATTAAATTTTTACAGTTTACCGGACGTTGCTTGATACGCGGGAAGTTCTAGTAAACTTCAATTATAACACATTTTTTCATATTTCGCCAACTGTCAAGCGTAAAAAGCTGTTTTTTATGCCCTGCCTGCTCCGCCTATTACTGCCGTGAAGCAGTAATGCGTTTCGGTTTGAAGGGCGGAGCAGCCGTTGTAACTATACGAGACCTTAGAACTCATTTCTCAAGGTGGGTGGCGTATTTGCGTTGTAGATGTCTATATGCTCCGATATCCTCTTAAATCCAGGTGGGTTGTGAGTTCGTCCACCTATCTCTCTCTCTTCGATCGGTCCCTCACTGCTGAGGGTTCCGTCAACCAGCTGTCTCCATCGATCCCGTTCTGTAGCCTGGTGGAGTGCGTCGCTGACAGGTATCCCCAGTTCCTCCGCTATTTGGTACGACAATCATTCAGGACCTCTACCCCTAGGCCTTTTTCCCTCTATTTTACCGGTCACCACAAGGCGTTCCAAATTGCCGGTATCCCTGCGTGCAACATGACCAAAATACTGCAATATTCTTTGTAGGCAGGTTGTGGATAGACGTTGAGTCTTTTCTATTTTTAACTGCCTGAGAATAGAGATGTTGGGGTCACCAATAGAGATGTTGTCGTCACCAATATAAGCAATAAAAAAAAAACTGTAGGGCGAGCTAGCGTTGGCTTCGCGTCTCCAAACCCGACTGGATTAAGTGTCGGCTCTCTGACCGTATTTATAGAAAAAAATAGTCGCGCAACGATTAAGTTTTATGACTACCCGCTTTTAAGATATATCATTGTCTCATCGAATGTCAGAGGCTAATGATTGTA